ATAGAGTGAAAATAGTTACCTATTAAATACATTTTCTATCTACTTTTAAATGCATGTAAATATTTGCACATAATGCCTTTTTACGGAGTTTTTTTGTGGTGATAAATCTCTACTAAAGTTAAAAATTCAATTTCATTAACCTAATGCAACGCCCGCTAATGGAAAACTATAATCATGTAATCGAAGACGGCGAATTATAATTCATACTAAGTAACAATATTATTTAATTTTATTGATATAAACGCCAATTGGCTTTTTACATACATATAAACAGTACGAAATAATACATATAAAGGTAATTATTATAACATTAGATGACATAAGTGATATAGATAACAAAGTGACAATATACAATTAAAAATAAACAAAATACATTACAATTACAGAAATTTAAGACCATATATTATCAACATTATCATAATTTAAGCATCGTTCTAACAAAAGAATCACTCGATAAAAAGTTTGAACGGAAAGTTGGAATGTGAAAGGTCTTAGGGGATCTAGTATGGGTAGCTGGAACTCTAAGGCGTATACGCTTAAGGGAACGTGGTGCATCAATATTACCCTGAATTAATTTTAATAGAAAGTTGTGATCGGCCTTTAGACGCCTGTCCTCGAGACAGCAGAGATTTAGGGCATTCATGAATGATTGATAAAAATTTTGGGAATGATCATATTTTATTAGGAAGCCAACATAACTAAGGAAGCTATATTATAATATTGTTTAAATAAAATTGTTGTTTCAATCTAAAAACTTCTAAGTACATCAAAATATCACGGAGAAAAAGACGAAACATTCTATTGAGTATTTATATTGGTACAATGGGTGCTTTCCATGTCATATTTCCATTATTAATAATGTAATCTATTATTTGTATATCTACGAACTCAAATAATAATGGTTTTACATAAAATATAGTTTGCCAGACAAATGTACAAATTAATTACAGATTAATTTAAAATGTTCAAATCATCATATCCCCATATCTTTAAACATAATATCAACTATCATGGACTAAACTGTTGGTGCATTAAGTTTATAAAGTTTACTTAAAAACTAGTCGTTCGAATTTATATTTACAAAAATCAGAATTTGAATAAATACATCATTATGAGTAAAAGGTCACCCCTCTTATCGGGTGGATCTGTTTTCGATCAAAATAAACCTTTTGGTTTTCACCCATAGAAATATTATTCATAATACCGAAAAAACAATTTGGTTACTACAGTCTGCGAGTACATTTAAGGCGAGTCATGTGAAATAATGAAAAACATTTGGCTTAAATAGGAATAAAATCACCTTCTATCATGATTCATGGCGTGGATCGATATTATTCTCAAGAAAGTTCAAACCCAAATTTATGTGAAAATTAACAATAATATTTTACCTCGTATAGAGTATAAATGTTTTGAACATTTCGAAAGGATACATAGTATTGAAGTAATAAGAAATGAATTAATTCAACCACGGTATAAGTTCATTATATTTGTGTGCCTTAACTTTGATAAATAATATATAGATAGGTATTAAAAATATTATATATTATATTATTATACATTGGCTTTTATAAATATTATATTGAGTTTAATTTAATTGCATCGTATTTATTAGTAGTAATAAGGTCGATAAATAATGTTTTATTTTTATTTTATTTTTGTTTTATATGTTTTAGATTCTGACGGGAGCGATGAATGCATTGGTTTTACAATGATGTATGTTTTTATATGTTTTTATTCTTTTTTTTTGTTTTTGTTTTGTGTCAGTACACGATAAGTAGTCAAAATAATGTTTCGATTTTCAAATTCAGTATCTTGTTAGCTGGGAAAGTAAATCTAGATGATACTTTTAGGAGGTCAAAATTTAAAGTTCCAAGTAGATATCAAAAACGCAGGGTAAAACAAAAAAAAAAAATGAAGGAATAACGGGAATATTTACGCGAAATAGGTTTTGCTGTAACTCTAAAACAAATGCCCATGAAGATAAATGTAAATTGTAAATACATGAAAATTTTACTGAATGTTTATATTTTCATTTTCTATACACCATAAAATTTTGAAAATATTTTGACTCGTTTTGAGCTCATTTTCAGTTTTCAATTTTTTAGTTTTTTTTTTACTATAATTGTTAGTAAAATTTTATTTGTTTGTTAAAAAGTCGATAAAATTGAATATAAGGCCTCTGATATATTGTTATTATAATAGCAGTCGCGGAGTTGAAAATATTAAAAATTCATATAGGCATGGGTTTTTTTATAATCATTTAAAGTTTGAATTTTTACAACATTTATCAAATTTAAATTTTAATAATTAATTTGTAGTTTAACATTTATTATAAAATGTTCAACTTTTATAACTAAGGATTGAAAATTTAAAATAATGTTCTACGTAAATAGGTTATAAGTTATAAGTTATAATATATAAATACACAATCATATCATCAAATCTAAATATTTAGTAATAACTTAGGCTGACTGACCGACGACAGTCTTCGCTCAGAATCGTTTTTCTTATATAAAGATGATATGATATCATTGAATTTAAATTTAACACCATCCGTAACCTACTGTACAGCAGAGCAACATCCACTTACCCACCTTTTTTTATTGACATTAATGTGTTTATCAATTAACAACTTAAATAATAAAAAACAGGGGTAACCAAAATTATTTTTAATCTAATTGTTTTCTTTTCTATAAGAATATGTGATGCTATTATTCAACCCATTGGACCTCTTTCTCACCCTCCCTCTCTCACACCAATGAAATTTTCCATAAAAGTTGAAAAGAGAAAGAGCTAGAATGCAATTTATATAAATGGTTTATCTTCTAAACAAATTACACTATGCAACACAGTATTTTCACAGCTGTTAAAAGACTGCTGCCAACAGGATAGTCAAATTGCACTTATTACCTAAAAAGAAATGGTCGAATTGCACTTGGATTCAAAAAAGGTAATGGTCGAACTGCACTCGGGTAAAAAGTAGGTAGTGGTCGAACTTTTACTATGCATCTATATAACAAAATATACAGTTTTAAACTAATAACTTTAAAATAACTATAAAGTTATATATACTGATATCTAAACACAATATAATATGTTCAATGTTCATAGACGTTTGAAGTTGTTTTAAATGTATGTAATATGTTCTGAGGTCCCTATAGGTACTATAGTTCTATAGTGATAAATAATATTTCTATGAGCAAAAATCAAAACCATCTTTTTGAGTTTGTGCAAGACAGGTACGCTTCTTTTATCTTTGTGAACATTCCAGCATTACGAAGATTTATATTATTTATTAAAATTAATATAAAAATACACATTGTGAAGTCAGTTTTATATCTTTCATTTAAATAATAAGTATGAAACGTGTTTTAATTTGTGAATTTTTTTTTTTTTAATAGGCATAAACTAAAAAAAATTAAAAATAATTAGTCAGAATTAAAAAAAATGTTAATTCACGTTAAATTATATTAATAAATACCAAACACATTTTCTTACCACGATTAGGTAACTGAATAATTATAATTTATAAACAATACAATCTCTAAAATGAATAACTTAAATAATATTATACCAAAATGAAAGTTATAGGTATACCTATATTTAACTAATCTAGATTTAATAAACGGTATATACATTATATTATATACTATTAAATTGAATATGTAATTGTAGGGCATGAATCATGATAACAGGTAACATATGTGTATTGTAACGTAAATAATGAAATAGTTATATAGTAGGTGGCTTATGAAAGTTATAATTATAAAATTATAAAATTAAATAAAACATTTATTTTTATCTTTTTATATCTGTATTATTAATATTGTGTATGTTTAAGGTATAATATTATAAATAAACAAAATGTAGTTCAATGAAATCTTCTATTGAAAATATTATAATAATTTGTAGTGTATTATTTACTACTTAAAATTCAAATATTGTATGACAAGTATTTTTATTTTTAAATATGAATCTAAATAAATCCATGTCATAAAACTATTGCTGATCAAAACAATCACTATAAAATATATATTCAACAAAATAAAATATATTTAATACACTGGGTTCATCTGGTACATCTTTTAAAAAATTACACAGAAATTTAATATTACTAATTGTTTTAAATCGATGTTGCAAACTAAGTGCTATATTATAATAATCAAGGCCTGCAATGTTAAATATAATTATTTTTGGATTTAACAACCCAAGCAAATTAATTATTGTAAAAAAATTATATTTTAATTAAATAAATAATATCTATGAACTTGTTATTTTAGTAATATCAAATATGTAACTAAAAATGCAATAGTATTCCTCATTCCTTCGTCATATATATGTATAGAATAGGTATATTGTTTTACTTATACAATTGTATTGAATAAACAACTATCGAAAATTTGCAAAGCAAATTTTTATTGACGAATAAAGATTTTTTACCACCCACTCATGGACGATGGACTCACATATCATTGTGAGCATCATATATATATAATATATATGGTATATATTGTATACATACATACAACATACATACATACATACATACATGATACATGCATGTATGCACGCACACATACGTACATACACATATTAACATAACATATTGGCTAATACAATTGCGCATTACAATAGAGTAGGTATTAGGCACAGGGATACATAATAATATATTATAATATTGTATCGTGGGCAAACAGATGCAAAGAGATGACACCTGCGCAAATTGAGTATTTAAGAAAAAAATAAACAAAACCAACACATATTATGTTTGGATATTATACGGTATCGCAATGTGTGTTTTGAACGTATTTAACGGAAAAAAAAAAACGAAACTCGAATAGAACGGATTCGACAACGTGAATAATAATTATTTATAATTATTACCTGCATTGGACGTACTATTTGGATACTGACAGCTAATGACTATTTTGGGGCGACTGGTGCTTACAAATTAAAAAAGGAAGAATAACGTCGTCACAACTATATAATAGATAAACGAAATGATTATACTGTCATCATCGTCGCACAGAAGGGAGGCGAAGTTTGAATCGAAAACGGTTTTAAAGCGTATTATTCCGCAAAGTTTGGAAACGACGGGCAGACTGACAGCGGTGTGTGTGCCTACATTATACATAGGTAACAATATTATACTATTACAATGCGACGATTCGTCGGACGGAACCGGCGCGAGTTTACTGAGGGAAAACTACAGTGTAAAAACTCTGGTCAGGTCGACTGATCATCAGAGTGTTCTACTTTCATTCGACGGTAGAACTATTCCCATCGCAGCGACGACGTCGATGAAAACAACGACTGCGGCAGAAATGAACACAGTCGACAAAGTGGAGTGTGGGGCGGTTCGACCTATACCATGGTAATAGTTGTATATTATAGCGAGGAATATAATATATAAGCAGTAACATTATAGGTTCGGGCGAACGCCACAATACAAAATAAAAGCGTATCTTCTCTCATTCTTCCGTCAGTGAACCATCCATTGAATTTAGTATGTATTAGGTATAACATAAGCTATATTAATAGGCCTTATAATACAGGAATATATATATAATGTTGTGATTGTGTCTTAGAGACGGTCGTTTTGGAAAACTTGGCATTATTTTACGACCCCGGTCGTCTATTCGACTTAAGCTTGAAATGTTTATGATGACTTATACGGTCGTTAAAAGATTATAGGAGACAAATGTATTAAAAAAAAACCAGATTCCCCCGATCTTCGATGATGAGTCCATTAATATTATTATTTTTCTAATAAACCGGAGTGGTGGTGTCGTGTGTGTTTGTGCGTGAAATGTAAATCATTTCACCGTGGGTTACTACGGTCTTACGGAATACAGCCATACTGGGGTACGACGGACGGGGGACCTGTTGTTTCTCGAAAACAACACGAAAAAACAAACCGGTTTTTGTAATGAAAGAGATCCGCTACGACTCTACGAGTATACGGTTCCGTTAAGACGAAATAAAATATAGTATTTCATATACATTGCCTATAAAAACTTTTTTCATCTGAATACATTTGTAATAAGTTACAGGTTGGTATTTACGAATGTCTGCCGTTTTAACAACAATCGTAAAAACAAAGGATCCGCGAGATACTACACCTAATTTAAAAAATAAAAACCAGAACATTCCTTTGTAGTGGTATATTCGTATTCTTATATCGAATGTTGTATACATTGGCATTTTATTATTACACGCCAGTGGACCGCAATAAAATAAAATCAGGATTTTTTTTTAAATTGTAATAGGTAATAGTATATTATACGGACAACAAAAATTATGAATAATTATTAGAAATGTTTGCTCCTAAATAGGAGATATACCATTGAACGACGACACAAATATTTCAATATTTTATGGATTGATACAAGTATGCAACTAGTTATTAACTAGCATACACAATTTTCCGAACGTTTCCGTAATGTAATCCTTGACCAACGCTAACTAGTTATAGATTGACGGCTATATATACATATGTACGACATATACCTAATATATGTGCACACATAGGCGTGGAAGTCATGTGGGCTAGCCGTAAGGACATATACAATCGCCTACATACCACGCATCTTCTCGTATGGCATAGACCTTGAGCAAACCTTGATGGAGGCAAAAATCCTGTGTGGATACCAATGTCACCAAAAATAATGTACATGTATAGAGGTAATCTATAGTTCAGTTCATCTCGTGCATTAAAAATATTATAAAATATTGTTACCTATCAGAATTAATAATAAGTCATAGTCAAATTCACGAAAACAAAATCAAAACAAACGAAAAAGTCCAAAGAGTTATTTGTTAATGTATACAATGCGTATTATTATTATTATTATTATTATTGTAACTAAATATTATAAGTATAATAAACTTGAACGAAATTGTTAAAAACCGCATAATATGTAAACTCGATAAAAAAACCGGGTCAGAATACAAAAATGTATAATGTAGGACTATAACTATTTTACGTGGGAAGAAAAAAATAATGATATACACTTGTTATTATTTTTAATTATTTGAAAAATATGAAAGGTATTATAAATACTAAATAGTTTGTCTTTATTTTGACATGCGTAAAACAAATTAAACTTTATTTTAACCATTAGTTTTTAAAATTTTAAATTAAAACTGAAGTATAAGTATGATCTATAGCTAACTACCCACATCATCAACTATGGTATAGTGGTATACCATTAACCGGAATGATTTAATAATAATTGTTTTGATAAAAATCAAACTAGTACAAAAAAGACTGAATTCAGCTTTTCATATAACATGAGCAATACCTTATTTGGCTGGTCTTATAGTTTTTATTATATCTTCTTAACATGAATATTATACAAGGGCGCCCATTAAGGGGTGCAATTAGGTGACATGTCACCCCCCTAGACAAATGTGAAATTATTGTAATATTTTGTTATTGTAAATAATAAAGTATTTTTACTGATAATATCATAATACATGACATAATATTACATAGATACATCGTTTATCTATGTAGTGTATTTATTTTCTATTATTAAATAAAATCAATTTGGTTGGTTCTTAGATTATTTTTATGATATTGTCACCTCCTAGGTTCTGATTGATGGGGCGGCTTTGATATCATATAATATAAGATAATTTCGAAAAAGTTTGAACATTTCTTCAAATACTCATAAATACATCAAATAAAAAGTTAGTATTAACATAAAAAATTAATTTAATTTAAAAGAATTATACTCTTTTCTTTTATCCAGTATCCAATTATTATAACTACTATTTAGTATTTACTATTGGCAATTGGCGATCGTTTGTCTGAACTCATACAAATACTCGTACAAATATAACAGATAAGTACGTAGAATCGAATACAATATGTCTTATATGGGGGACGGAGTGGCCGAGCGGACTAAGGAATCGGTTGTGGCGCACACCGGCGCTGGTTCAAACCTCGGTTCACGGGCGGCATTTTTCTTAGGGCAAGTCACGGTGACCGGTGAAGAAGTGCCGCCATCCGGGCATGGCAGATACCTAATGGATGCCCACTTGAAAATCTGCCAAAACTACACACACGTGTTTACACCTACTGTTAAATCCCCCACAGTTGAAAAACCACCCAATGACCTAAGTTTCCGCGGGTTAACAAATAAAAAAAAAAAATTAAAAAAATATGTCTTATACATTACACAAATGTATAGTTTAAAAGATTTAATTATTTACTTAGTAATTATTTCTAATTAGCTGTCACAGTTTAAATATTAAATAAATATATGGCCAGTTTTTGCCCAAACATTTTGTACTCAATAATGTATAACCTAGCTAATAACTAATGTTCCAAAGTAAAGGTAATTAAAATTAAATATAAGTATACGTAATTAAATCATTAACTAATTATTTAATCTCCAGTTTTACAAATTAACTACCAACCTATTACTATAAGACTATACAAAACCCTGTAGTATACGACGTATGTACATTATACACTGTTGAATATTATCAACTTGTTTGTAAATAATTGTTATAATTTAAGAAAAAAAGTACTTATTAATATTTAAGATTTAATACAAACCAATACCAAAACCAAAACAATTTCATAAAAAAAAGTCACCGCTGGCAATATTTGTCATGTACTCATGTGAATAGAACACACACCTTTATAGCTCCATCGATATTAAAAGATCTATGCGATAACAATAACGCATAGGCTCGACTGCTCGAGGCTATAAGAAGATATAATATCCAAAACGATATATATATATATATATTATATAATATATACAGAGCCAATGACCCAAAAATGATTTTCAAATACAGTGTCCAGAGGCGCAAACACACACGTAAATAATTGGCGTTGTCAACAACATCTCTCCGGTGATTATAAGGCGTCACAATAAACGAACAATAAAATAATGATATAATAATAATAATAGTAATAATGAAATAAATAATCTAACGTCACAGCCACTATGCCTACTGACCATTGTCCACGATTCTCAAGGATTTACAGGACCCTTAAGTATGGATGTACCTTATATTTCTACATATATCAATATAAATATTAAAATATACATTATCGGTGAGATATAACTTGAGTTTTTCTAACTTCAAACATTCCCAGTTGTTGTTGTACCTATAACCCGACTGTGTTAACGAGATGATGTTGAATTGTTGATAAATGATTATCGTCGACTTTACAAGCTTTATACAGACGAGTGACCCAATATTAAACACGGTTACGTATGAGTCACGTACAATGTGAACGAGCATTTTATTATTTAGCCAATTCATATACAGCCCCATACAGGTAGGCATTATAATATTTTATAGGCAAACATAATAATATAAAGACGCGTGGAAGAGTACAACACAGAGGTCAGTCTTCAAATACCAATATCCTCGTCGTCGAGGAAAACAATCACAAATACAATGGGTGGCAGTTATTATATGATTTGGTATGTTTAAAAATAGAACAAGAAATTGAGATCTTAAAAATTAAAAAAATATACGATTATAAATTATGTAATAAAAAAAGCTTATTGCTTTTATAATTTATATTCTTATGGATATGAGAAATTCGGTTTAATGTACATTATCTATTCCCGTTCTTTGAGTTACTCAATACGACAATTAAACACCATTTGATGCGGCTTTTCAATTTCAAATTCTTCGAGTCTTTGTACATGAATAAATCTATTTGTCACATACCCTTATTGAAAAAAAATAGTTATGTTAAAAATATTAAAATTACAATTATCTAGACTTTGGATTCATTTTACGATAAAAATATCAAACGAGAAAATAAATATTTAAACGTATTTACCAGTCTTAAAGAAATTTAAGTGCGCAATGATTTTTTTAATTCCTCATATTTTATGAATACAATATGATGATATTTCACTATTACAACGTAAGAATATTATTAAAAATCTATAATAGTTTTCATCCGTAATAGAGTAATATACAGTAATTACATTACACAGAATATACTTACCTGCATACAAGTACCTATGCAACTGTGGTCGTGATACCATCGAACAATAAAATTATACCCAAATGGATTCGGAGGAGATACGTAATAATAATAATAATAATAATAATAATAATAAAAATAATATTAACACATAATTCGCACTATAATCGTATTACTGTAAAAGGCATTAGGTATGCTCATAACTACGCGCTCGTATACCTAAATAATATTATGTATGATATTACAGTGCAGACCTGCTGCGCCAGACTTACCCTGCAGGTCTCCTCCCAGATGGGATCTTCGCAGCCAGCCGACGAACCGGACGAGCCCCTACGGCCTGTCGGGTCCCACGAGTTCCGGCGCACCGAGTCCAACGAGTCGGTGGAGTACCGTCGCCAGGCTGGCACTGCCGATAAGGAGTCCTTCCGACCAGCGCCCGTCGAGTCGCGGCGCAACACCACGCCGGATGTAGTGGCAGTGGCAGACGACAGCGAGGAATGCGGCGGCGATGGCGACAACAGCGAGTCGCGGCGCGGCGAGTTGATGGAATCGCGGCGCAGAGACGTCGTGGACGACGTCAACGAGTCGCGGCGCAACGAAGACGGGAACGAGGACGGATGGTGGCACAAGGTGTCGCGGCCCGGCGAACCCAACACGATGGAATCGCGGCGCCGCATGCTGGCAGCTGGTATGGAAGCGGGCACGGAATCGCGTCGGGGCACAGCCGCGACTGCGGCCGCCGCCCCGGACACCACGCTTCCACGGTGGTGATGATGGTGATGCAGGTGTTCGGACTTTCGGCGGGCGTTACCTCCGACGCCGTGCACGTCACAGTCGGCCGTCACGGCGAAATGCACCTTTTCCACGGACGACCTTTTTGTCTTTGAGTGCTCGTCGCCATTGCCGTCCCCGAGTTTAACGTCATCGAACAGGGCCTCGAGCCTCTTGAGCGCAGCCGCGGTGGCCGTCATTTGCGAGCGCGACGTTAAAATAATATACTAGCTTAATTTATAATTGTTATGGAATTATGCGGAACCGAAACTGCAGCGGTCGCACACCGTACCTCTACAATAAAAGTGCAACCACTGATAGCGACGATGAACAAACGATGCATACGACACCCAGACACGTGCGCGTGTACCGGTTACACGAACACTATTGAAGGTTCGCGCGGCGGCCTCCCGAACACGGGCTACGGGCATTGTAGTCACCGCGGCAGTGGCCCCACCAAACGACCACCATATTGGGCTCGGTTACCCGAGCGCGCGCGCTCGCTACTGCACCGGGTGGTTCCGCGCGCGTTTACGTCCAAACTCGCTGCCGCACACGCGCCATCCACCGAGTATTGTTGTGACGCATATTACGCATATTACGACGTTCGACGAACAGATATTATTATTCGCGCACCTACGGCGGATCCGGCACGGACTCTTGCGAAATCGTCAATTATTGTCGTACCACGACGGCCGCCGCCGCCGCCCGCCCAGCCGAGGAATGCGTCTTCGTCGTCGTTGTCGTCGGCGGCACTGCAAAGTCCGAACCAGCCAATTCGCATGTATATAATAATATTATTGTTGTTGCTGTTGTTGTTGTTGTTGTTATTATTATTACCATTGTTATTATTATTAGGTATTATGTGACTCAGAGGCGTGCCGAAGAAGGTATTTTTGAGGCAATTGCTTCAAATATAAAATTGGTGGGTGTGTGATGAATGTTAAAAATACAAAAAAATATTACAGTTTTTGTTGCTTTTTGCTGTAAAAATGTATTATATAGGACATAAAATATATTTTTTATAGGTGGGTCCTTAATTATTAATTTTTCCTCCAGTTTAAAAACTTCAACACGCCATTGTTATGTGTTATATACCTATAGCCATTAAGCCATATAGGTAATGTGATTCCGTATACCAGCCATATAATGACGGGGGTCTCTTGCCATTATTATTATTATTATTATTATTATTATTATTATTATCACTAAACAAATTGTAACCAGAAGTCCAGAAATAATGTAAGTAATAAGAATAACTAATAAGTAATTAGATATACCACATGTGCATGTTCTCGATTTTAACGTCGTACGGATTCGGTAGAAAAATTACGATTAAGAATATTTGTTTGGGTAAAAACCTTATTAGCATGTTACAGTGACGTTTTAAAATATCTTAAAATACAATTTGAAAGCCCGGATTTTAGAGTTAAATGCCTTAAAAACCCTAAAATGCTCTAAGCAATTTAAAAAATAGCCTTAAATTAAAATGTCTAAAAATTAAAAATTCATACTTCTTATTCTAATTTAAAAATACATGAAAAGCATATTTTATAAAACAAGCATTGCGTAACTAGTATTTGAAAACAATGCAAAGAGTATTGAAATCCTAGCCCTACTAATAATGCTTTTTAGGTCAAAAGCAAAGTTGAGAAACCTAGTTCTGCACCCTGCTGTAGGCTGCACATCCTGATGATGTGAAAAATAATTGAATGCGTGGATACTAGATAGTATCTTATAATTAGTTATAAATATCATAATAGTCTTTACGATTCGACGCGGCATAGAGATGATGAAATTCAGGCACACGCCTATAAGTTCGAATTTACATGGCCGCGCAGCTTCGTCCAAAGCCGGCGCCCCCAGCGAGGAATGCGTCGTTAACGATACATTTTGCGAACGTGCGCTAGCTAACACCACCCGCGCCCATATAGAGAACACTCAATAATATAAGAGCCAGTGTACGACACTTTCGCCAAATTCCATCGATTTTTTTTCGTCAATGAAAATATTTCAAGAAAATAAACGAAAACCGTTACCTAGGTACATTAAAAATATTACGAATATAATAACGATATACGTTTATAAATAGACACAGCAAACCGTATAATAATTTACTGTATAATTGTTAAGTATTATTATTAATATTATATTATTATGATATCATTAATATTTGGTCTGACTACCATAGAATAACCAAAATCAAAGTTATTAGTTATTACTAATATAATAATATTTTCTTTACTCGATGGTAATAAGTAATAATTAATATTAATATTAGTACCTACTTATAATAATATTTCTATATCGTAATCATAATAATTGGCAACGAATAATTAAATTGTAATTATTAAGTTTGAATCAAATACAAAACGTAAATCCGTAAGTCGTGAATATAAGGCAGTTAATTGATAAAAATAATTCATACTATACTAATTAGTTTGTTTTAAAGATTTACAAATACTTCTCAATAAATGGTTATTTTTTTTACATCTAAATTCTATGTTAATTAATAGATATTTATCAACCATTTTTTCACACAATACAAACTTTTGCACAAGTCGACAAGGCTCACCTTAACCAGTGGGTAGACCTCACCCAAAAAAAATTATCAAGAGCAAACCAAATACAAATATATATATAATATATTAGCCTTGAGTACAAACACCTATTACCAACTATAGAGCTATAACGTTTAGTATCTAATATATTATTAACAAAATTAATCGTACACTGAGTACTTTTTAATGGTGTTATATTTGTAATTTTAAAATAAAGATCAACCGAGAACAATGTTTTTTAAAGAAGATCTGTTATTTTTATTGTTAGTAATTTTGATTTATTAACGATGACAATAACGTTGATCGAATAGATATACGTGAACTTTTATAATACTGTATATAGGTATACACAACTACACAAGGACTTGAAATCTCTAGTGTCTGTGGTTTATTACAGATATTAATCTGATAAAATACTTTTAATATAATTTAAGATTACACCCAATCAATCATTTGGTCATTCTTTCTATACATTATTTCTATCCAAATTCCAAATAATTCGGTAGGTACCTATTTACTTTCTGTGTAATGTGTATTATTTTAAATGTATGTAATCTAATAATAATTTTATCATCAGACTTGAAATTAAATGTAATATATAATATTATAAAGATATACCTATTTAATTGTTTTATAACTTAAAACAAGAATATTAAATTAATTAGTTGCCTACACCATTTAAAATATATACCTAACATACATAATCTTAATTTCTTACCTGTATTTCCTTTAAGTTATCATTCTCAGAAGTCCATTCTCCTTTACTTCCATTTATTACATTTACTTTTGTGGGGATTGGAGGTTTGGCAGCATTATTTTTTGAAAATGTCGCCGTTTCAGATGGTAAAACTTTATTTGATAATTCACTAAAAATATAAATTACAATGCTTAAAACCTGAATAATATTATAATTGTTACTTAATATACATATACATATTTCATATCATACCTGTTTTCTTCTTGAAGTTTCGATTCTGTATTACGCAATTGCTCTATAAGCTCGAGTCTTTCTCTTTCTTGATCTTGTAAGGCATCATGATATCTTTGTTTTTGCCGCTGATATTCCTTAAGCAAATCACACTGACTATTCTGCATATCGAAACTAGTACTAGATTGGTTAATAGACAACGATTGATATCGATCAGTAAGTGAATCTCTTCTAGATGATCTAGTAGTATTTGACGTTGTTGTAGAATTTGATGACCTTCCAGGTTCTGGAGACGACAATTCCGAAAAAAATTTTCTATTTTCTTTTACAGGTGTCACAACTTCAGTAATAGAAGGTAACTCTCCGTTTATACTATTTACGAAAACTTCACTCTCAAATAATTTATCTACTGAACTAGTCATTGGTGTATTACTCTTTAGTCCTGTTAAATGAAAACTTGCAAAAGACGATTTTACAAGGTTTGACGGTGTATTAGGTGCCCCGATAGATGATATAAGAGATGAAGAAGAAGTATGGTCAAGATTTGGCAGCAAGGAACGTGACATAATATCGGCAGCTGATCGTGGTCTAGTAAATGGCATTGCAGAATGTGGGAATTGTTTTGGTTTTATAGGAGTGACAAGCATGTGTTCCGTCCATGATGTTTCCAAAGATGGTCTCTCTAACTGTTCAAGTTCAACATTTAAAGTTTTTTGTTCAAAAGGCACAATAAAAGTTTCAGCTGGAATGCTTTGAAGCCATGACATCAAACTAAGATCTGTATCTTTATAACCTTCTGATCCATTAAATATATGAGAAAAATTTAAAACATTAGGTCCAAAAGGCTGTGTACTTCCAACAGCTTTCGATTTACAAAAATTACAACAAGATTCATAAAGCATTCCTTTAATAATTAATTGAATGAGCCTGTCATTTATTGCATCTGGCATAACAGGTTTTTTGTCACATGGTAAAAATTTCATTACAAGAGGATAAACTTGTTTAAAGCATTGTACTCTCGCTGTACTAGGGTTCCAATCTTTATACCCTAAATTATCGGATAGTCTTGGTAATGTCAACATTAAACAAAGATTAGAATATTCCTCTTTAGTAGGACATACTTTTTCTAACTCATTTAGAACTTTAACTACTTCTTCTACTGCAGTGTCTACACTTCCTACCACAGTTGCTTCTGATTTCATACATATTAGCTCGGCATATTTATGTCTTAGGATACAGTACCTGAATTTATTGGTAGGAAAAGTTGGTATCGCTTCCAATGGTTGAATGAATTCAAGCACGTCATCCCATTGACCATCCAAAATGAGTTGACGAAGAAACAAGGTATCATCTGAATAACTTCCATTTATAACACCAGTTTCACGTTCTACGCTTAATTGAGATATATGAAGTTCGCGATTATGCAAAAACTCCAAAGTTAATCTAATAATATCTTCTTCCCGTACAGAAATCTTTGCTGTTGGCATCACGTAACATATAAGCAATCTAGAAACAATAAAACATTTTTAATATTTAACAATAAAATAGAAATTTAATTTACTAAGAGTGAACAGGTTAAGGTAAGGAAACAAACAACACTGCCAGTCGCCAGACATTTGTACAAAAATAGTAAAGGAGTGCCCTCGCAGACACTCCTTTCCTGTTGGTTTATTTTAGTACACCAACAAATATACCCTTGCTAGTTGCTATAATTGACATGCTTCATAAAGATGCATATAGTTAAAATTGTATAATTATTAATAATAAATAAGCTCAAACATCAACATACAACAATTTCCAAACCTAAGTAACTTTACTAACTTTATTAACTAAACACAATATTATTATATGTAGTAGGTAATTATGATTTAAATGCAATATTAACAATACAAACTTTAAACATAGAAAGATTACGAGACACTGAGTAGAATATTCTGAAAATAAACTAGAGAAAAAGAAAAAAAGAATAGTGTGCAAGTTTGTTTTAGTAGTTTTATTTATCTTGAAACTTTTAGACATTGAAACATATTAAGTGAGGGTTGCATCATGAACGTTTTGTTATTGAGTAATTCAAAAAGACACATGACAATGTTTCTCTACACAATAATGGATTGTTACTGCAGTATTTGTCTCTGTATACATGTTATACATAATGTAGTGAACTTAAAGTAACTAGGTAAATGAAATAGGATCCTCTTAAGCAAATTAAAATGTGTATAGACCCTTATAATACGTTTGTATATAAACTATTATCTAATTTTAAAAAGTATAGTAGATAATAGTAATATAATATAAATAAAAGTGTATGTATTTACAAACCTTGAAATAAATTTTCTGTGCATATTTTTTACATTTCTGTTGAAATAATTTAAGTTTGATACAACTGTTACCATTACCAATACACTAAATAATTTGTAAACATTTAATAAAAGATGAAACGGAAAAATTATAATTTGTTGTGGTCAGTTCTTGTCTAAAACTGAAACTAAACTAATCTCTTTAAAATAAGTGTTTGTTAAAAACACCTTCCAGTTTCTATTTGAAGCTTATTTATAAACAACTTATATACAGGATGTTCTATATAGGTACAATACATCACGTCATATATAATAATTTTAAAGTGAAGTAATATATCAAAACGTGAAATGTAATCAAATATTAAATACCTACAATGTGAACTTTATATATTATTTTTAAAGTTATTTTGTTTGATTTTTAGTAATTTATATTACATGTTGAATATCATATTTTCAATTTTCATACAATTTTTTAAACTATTATAATTTTTTAATGCATAATAATATTATACTTTAATGATTGAGCAATTATTATTATTTATTTTTACCTATAAAAATGATATTAATGAACACGAAAATAAAATTGGCTTGTTTATGACTATTTTAGAGAGTTGGTATGAACAACTTTGAAACACCCTATATAACACTGGAAATTTCAATAATAATAATTATTATACATATGTTTGTCTAATTGTATATGCAACACCAGAAAAATATAGCCTGTAGGTAAAATACACTGCTTATAACTTATAAGCTATAACCTACTTGTAACAGTTCACTAACAAATTATTTATGTAAAGAAGACCATTGACTTTTAGTTACTTCATAAATAAATAAGAGACAAATATGAAATATTACTGATTTAATGATATAAAACCGCATTAAACTTATTAAAACAAATAACATGAGTTTAATTGTAGGTACTTTAAATAATAATACAAAATAATAACAGCAAGTTTTAAAATAAATGAAAAAATATCTTAGTTTTACAATATAAGTACCTAATATTTCAAATTATTTATTTATTTTCTTTTAACTTTTAAGTATACAAATCATTTTATTAATTTTTCTTTAATTTAATTAAACCTATAATTAATATAGAGCAGTGTTCACCAACATTTTTTACCAAGGGCCATAAAAAAAAATTCCTGACGGCCAAGAATATAAAATTTTTTCTTATGACTTAAGTTAATAGAATATTAGCCACTTTATGCATATTTAATTACTTTTTTCCTGTACATAATAGTAGCATAATAATCGTTAAATCTTAATATAGGTATAGACTTAGTTATAAATCTAATTTTTTATTATTATAAAATATAAATTTAATAAAATATGTGAAGCATAAAGTAGTTACCTATTAATTTTATTATTAATTACTATAAAAATTATTTAATGTGAATTTTGCCCTTTTATTTATTAACAGCGAACATCAATATTAGGTTCTAATTTGCTTCAATTCAGCAGATGAACGGCTATTATCTGAGAACGATTTTTACTTTTATTGATTTTCATAGAGTTGTTCTCATACATATGTTGAAGTGAATATACAGGATATCATGGCTGTAAACTGCTGAACATTTGGGAAACCTTCTTTAAATAGATTTGAATAAAATTCAACAAGATTTTCAGTGTTTTTGAATACTTATTAGACTGAAGTTTGGTTATTCCTAAATCTAAGAAGTTTCATTATTTTTTGAATCTATTTTAAAGGTTTTTATCATTATTATTATTTTCAATTTTGTCTCATAAAAAAAATTGTTTAAAATGTTTTCTTGTATATTACTGTGATGTAAAACAAAAATATATTGGTACAACTAAATTGATATTAGTGATGGATAATGTTAACTTAATGTTCATTCAAAACGGTAAATATGATAAATTATAATATTATTTGTATTATTAAACAACTTAAAGACTATTATGCTACGATTTTATGTCTGATAAAAAAACACATGTAATTGATTACAAGCAATAGAAAAAGAAGAAATTTATTTTTATTTTATTTTACATACGTTACATTTTTAAACAAATGTGAATTAATATTTTTTCAATTTTTAATTTTTATTTAATATATTCTCCATAGTTGGGCACCCAGATACCTATAGTGTCAAACAGATGAAATTTGTAGAAAAAAACACCTACAAATAATTTATTTCCTCCTTGTTACTGAAAGGTCAATCAAAATGAAACATTGAACCCACAAAGTTATAATACCTAAATATAAACATAACAATTGGCTAATTAAAATCCAATATAGCTTTTATGAATCTATAACAATAAGTAATAACAGTTATATGTAATAATATAAAAATTTAGTATGGAGAACTTTTTTTTCTGTTGTTCGGAGTAACATAATTTTTTTAAGTGGCACTAAATCTAATGGATCTATAGATGTACCAATTACATTATCCATTTAAAATGAAGGTCATGTAATGAATATTTGTGAGTATCATAATATTTAATAGGTAGTTACTTTATGACCTGTCTTTTCTACACATACTTCCCCCACCTTTTATTATAATTTTCTAACAACTACCTTCCTACTTCAATACAGGTATTTATTTGATACTCAAATTTTAAGTAATTTAATCTTAAAAAATAAAAAAAGTGATAATTATTATCAAATTCCGTATCACATTTGATTTGGTGTAGCTTCCCAATTTTTTTTAAATAATAATAAAACGGTTTTAACTGATTCCGTGTTAGCAAGGTTTTACTGTAATAAATTATTTATTTATTAAGTTACAAATTAACCAAGTCATTAAAATTGTTAAGACCATTGTTTAAATTGAATTTGATAAATGTTATAGATACTATTGGGAAGTTATTTATTTTGTTATTTAATTAGATACATTATTTAGGATAAAGTTATGAGGCGAGCAAGTTATGATTACCTTTTAGTGAAATATAATAACTACTATTATTATTAAAATTATTTAAAAGATTAAAACAATATACAAAATCACAGATTTATTTAAAACCATTCGTCACTTAAATCATTAAATGGTAAATAATAAATTGTGGCTTAAATAGTTTAGTCTCATAGGTTATATGCATTTTAAAACAGTACACTATTAAATTAATTAAACCGATAATAGTATGCATATCCTTACTACTATGTTATTACAAGCTATATTTAGGATTTTCAAAGCCAGAAATCTACAAATTTATTTTAGTTTATGGTATAACAGGTACCTAATACCTATGTTTATAATTTCAATATAAACACTGTCCAATTTGTATGATATATGGTAGTCATTTATTACCAACATACTCATACATTCTTAAATAAAAATGTAATAGAATTGCATTCAAACAAATTTAATTGGGTTTTTTAGTAATATAATAATAGAATAATAGAATAATATACCTATACATCACAAATAAATATCTATAGTTATCATCTATCGTATTGAATGTATATACATTTTTTTAAAACAATTTTAATAAATTTAGTTTTAAATAATAATGAAAAGTATAGAATAAATAGGTAAATAGAGTATGGAAAATATTTAAACAACTTGATAGGTAGAGTACATAAATAATTATTCCTAATCAACTTATTTGTCATTTTAAAACGTTAAAATTGAAACCAAATATATTTGTATAATAATTAATACTAAATAGGTGTTATGTAGGAAGATACATATTGGTTTTTACTATATTTTGACATAATAGATTCCTAAGTAAATAGATAGCTATACATATTCATGGAATGTAAAAAACTGGTGAGCTAAAATAAAACTAAAAAATAAACATAGGTAAGAACTTAATGTTTATTCAATAAATCAAATATTAACATTAGTTCTTGTATGCTGTATTGCTGTGTAAATACAATGTTAATTTTTTTGAGGGGGAATGATTTAAGTCTCAATAGTTATATCATAAAATATTATTTTCCAATTTTTTAAATATGTAGGTAGATGGATAGGCATAGCACAATAATTCATTGTACACACATGCATATTCATTATTCCCACGAAAATTATACTACAAAATATAAATAACGTACCGTTAATAAAATAATTTTCCGTCGGGCAGTATCTGTGTGTAGGTAATGCCAGACTAGAGGTCAACAAACTACCATAATTATTTATTGTCTACAAGACAAATCGATCGACAAGACTCGGGGCTTCCGTAAACACAACGGACGTTCCCAAATCGTGGCTGTAAGAATTCGCGATCTTCAAATACCGACCAATTCAAAATCCGGAATCGTTATAGTGAATTATTATTGAAACGCCTACTAATTTGAATGTTCTAAAGAAATAATAAACTAAACATCAACAAATAACAATTATGAGTTATCACGGTCGAAATGTGATAACAACTATCGAGGAGAATCAGCCGCCGCAGCAATAAAAATATTGACTCGGACCATGAACGTAACAATATTATTGACTTGGGCATGGGTAAACGGTAAAAATGTGGAATAAAAATATAATAGTATACAAAACAACTTCAGCTGAGTAAGTTAGCAACATGGTATGCTCATGAGAATCCTGTTTCGATTCGTATCCGCGCACACGGTACACATTACCAGTAACACTTCGTAAAAGAACAATATTTCGTTGATGAGGTATATTATAATACATTGGTTTATCTCGTTTATTAATATAAATATTTTCTTTATAAGTATAATATATGGTTTATATTTATTTACATTTATTATATTATGATAATATATGGCATAATAATCGACTCTACACATATTGAATGGTATCATAGTATAGAATTCAATGACGCTCACACCGAAAGTTCTGACATGGTCAAAAACTTACGATGAACTTACCATTTTAAGCGGTGATGATACCGATCTTGTTTATAATTTCGTGGTTTATGGTTATTTAGTATCTATGTGATTACGTCTTATTATTCTGTCTCTTCATGCGCACGATTGAAGATCCTACTATCTTAGTCCGTGGTCATGGCTTTGGGACTAATTCTATTTCAACGATTTATTTAAATTCAAAACTTTAAATATGAAATAATCCAAGGTTCAAGGTTGTACAAAAAGTAGGACATATCACTTAGGTACTTGGTAGTAACTAATAGTATTTTTATTGATTAATGGTTTTAATTTTTTTAAATTGAACTAACTTTATTCTTTTCTTCTTCTTCCTCTGGCACTTAGTACTCTCTAAGAGATTTGGCCGCCATTACAATTATCAAACTAACTATATTAGTTGTTTTATATTAATATCGTCCACTGTTAATGAATAATAATAGGTCACTAATGAAAACTTTTCAATATCGATTTGAAACGATTGGTAGAGCATGTTTTTTTTTACTTCTCTATTTATATTACAGGTTGTTAAATTATGGCGGGTGTCGAAAACAATTTTTATGGTTCCGTAAGAGTTGGTCAAAAAGTGAGTATTGGGGCATTTGATGGGTTTGCTCGCTATGTTGGTCCAATCCCCGGAACAGATTCTATATGGGTGGGAGTTGAATGGGACGATTCAAACAGAGGTAAACATGATGGAATTCATAACGGTATCAGATATTTTAAAACTCTGTAAGCATATATATATACAACTACAGTACATAGTTTTAAAATAAGTTGACGAAAATGTTGTGTACATTCTAGACATCCTAACGGGGCATCTTTTGTACACTTAGAAAAAGTAATACCTCACAACGTTAGTTTTATAAATGCTTTTCAAAGTAAATATGGCCAAAATTGTGGTAATAATATTCATCAGGAGATAATTGCATTGATGAAACAGTCTAAAATGCCATCATTTGAACTAGTTGGAATGCAAAAAATTCAGAAAACACAAGCGTAAGTCTTTCGTATTTTTACTTATTAGTTATTAATTTAATACTCATGTAAACAATTTTACTGTTTAGATGTTTTGATAAATTAACTCATGTATGTCTAAGTCATCATGGTATAACATGTGCGGGCAATCCAAACGAAATACAAGATTGCTGTCCAAATATTGTGAATTTAGAACTTTGTAATAATTGTTTTACTGATTGGGGAACAGTATCAGAAATAGCTCAACAGTTAAAACATTTAACAACTTTGAATTTAAGGTAAGCTAATTAATAATATTAACTTCATTAAACAATCCAGCCTGATAAAATGTATTTTTAGCTTTAATAATATAGATTTGCCACAAGAACCAAATAATCAATTAAAGGAATCTTTTAAATGCTTGAAGAAAATTGTTTTAGGTAAACTTAATTATAGCTGGCATGAGATCATGTGTTTATGTGAAGCATTTCCAGTACTTGAAGTATTAGAGGTATACATTTAGAGTAAACTAGAAATAAAATCATATTATTAAGTATTAACACAATTATAATATTAAATCTTTTTAGGCCCCTGATAACAATATAGATAGACTTGAAACACATTCAGCAGTCATGGAGAATCTTTTGTACTTAAACCTGGAAAATAATAATTTATCATGGTCAGAAATCAATAAATTGCGCTATTTACCAAAGTAATAACTAATACCTAAAAATATACAATTAAATATTTTAGTAACTGTTTCAAAAACCTTAAATTATCAGATTACAAACTTTAAATGTCAATCGTAATGGAATAAAAGACATTCAAATTGTACCGTCATCGTTTCCTTCACTTGAATTTCTGATGATCAGTGATAATGACTTATTACATGTAAGACAAGTTTTAATGTTTATTATCATAAATATTTCTTAAATTAATATTATTTTTAAATTCCAGTTTGAATCATTATGTGAGCTTAATAAATTGCCAGCATTATGTTCTTTAAGAATTCAAAATAATCCTCTAATTAAGGGTATGAGTGTAAGCAATTACACCTTACAAATAATAGCAAGAATTGCCAATTTGAAGGTAAACTAATATATAAATCCTTATTAAACTAAATTATAAATTTAAATTAATGTTTTATTTAGACGTTAAATGGAACTATGATAACTCTTAAAGAACGACAAAATAATGAAAGAGATTTCTTAAAGGATTTGGACATGATATGGCATAGACAGTTAAAAAGTGTAGAAGAAAGAGCTGCATTTTTGACAAAACATCCACGATATATGGAACTCATTGCTAGTAAATAATTAATTATTACTTTATTTCATACCAAATGTTTTAATACTATTCAAATTTAGAATATGGTTCTGATTACTCGGAAGACCTGAACACGTCAAACAAAATAAAAACAATAAAAATTAGAATTGTGAACTTTTGCAAAGAAACCAGTACAGAAAAGGATGTAATAATAAAAACACTTCCAATTACTATGACACTTAATCGTTTAAAAGATCTTGGAAAACGTATATTTGGTCTAGGCAATAAACAACTAGAATTCTCATACCTAACAAAAGAGGTAAATTTAAATTTTAGTAAAATAAAAACAATATATTATATACCATTATTTTTATATATTATAATATGTTCACCTTTTTCTCTCAACTATATGGGGTCAGTTACTTTTGTACTACACCTCCATAGGACTCTGCCCCCCTTAACATTTATTCATTCTCTATTCTGTCTATCTACCTATCTCTTAGGTATTCCTCTCCATTTCTTTCCTTCTATATTAATTTCCATAGCCACTCTCACAGCCTCAGTCACTTCTCCTCATAACACAACTGTAACATCTTGACCTATTCTCCCTCGTCTTGTCTACAATTGGTGCCATTCCTAGGAAGCATAGACTACCACCTCTACTGAATTCATTTCATCGCTGTACTTTGCCTTTGAATACTTAGACGTAGACATTAAGGAAGGTTCTTGGTCTTCACTATATATCTCGCACTCTTTGGTGGTTTAAACAATAATTTTGAGTGTGACCAAGTTGGGCCTGTTTTGCATAGTGTACTTCTTTTTTTTCTAGGAGGTTCCACTTTTATACTGTGATAACATACATTTTTAAAATCATAAACGTCGTTTTGTTTGCTTTTAGAGTTGTGGCTCCAAATCCACAAAATCCACCTAACCTCACAGCAGTCTGATAACTTCTTTTTTGGGGTCAAACATTTTTTCATCTGAACTTTTGAAACTTTTTGTCTAAGATGCCCTAGCTTGGAAAGTTAGCCTGTAATGCATGTCACAGGGTCAGTTTTAGGATGTAGCCATGAATTTCTACCAGAAAACTTTTTCTGTCTGAAGTTGGTATCTATGATACTCAACTTTTTGCTCTTTTAAAACTTCTAATAGATACTTTAAGTTTGTTAAAACAGGTGTTTTTTGCCCTTCAGTATCTTAATTTCACCATTAGCCTAAGTATTCATTTGTTTCTCGGATCCCTCTGCTCTTTCAAGTGTTAGATTAATCATTTAATTTTTTTAATCATTAATACCACATACTGTTATTAGAGGTAGTGATTTTTATAGAACTCAAAATGTCTACTACAATATTACCTACCACTTAGAGCACCCAATAGTCATTTCAGAAATCTAAATTGTTCATTGTTTGATTTCAGTTATTGATTTCAAGGTTGTATTGAAATTTGTATGTGTTCAAATACTACCATCAACTATTTTATGTTGAATCTATGTCCATGTTTTCATAACTTTTGAATCGGTTAGTTTGAGTGTGACCTTCTTAAATAATATATTTATTTATAAAACGTACCATTTGTCCGAGAGACATTGGTTTGCAGTGTGAACACTTAACAAAAAAAAACCTAAAACAGCAATAATTCGCAAAGGCGATAGCAAAACATATTTTGCTTGTTAGGTGCCCAAAACCCTACATTAATTTGATTATAATATACCGGCTGATTCTTTTATCAAACAACACTCATTATTTCAAAAAGTGTAAATTTTTTTAAAGATATTTTTTTACATAGTTTCAAGTCGCTTAAAACAACGTTTTATTAAAAATTATATTTTTAAATATTTTTTATCCTTATAATTTTTTAAGTTTTTTACTTTTTTGAATGACAACATAGGGTTTTAATATTATATTCTAAAGTAGAATAATTTTCTTAGTATTTTGATACATAAAAATTGAATTTGGGGCGAGTAGTTTATGAGTTATAAGTATTTAAAGTTTAGATGAGCGGAGTGAGTGGTTCGGGGTTACCCGCGAAATGTTTTCTCCACTTCACCGCTCGTCTAAACTTTAAATACTTATAGTTATAACTCATAAACTACTCGCCCCAAATTCAATTTTCATGTATCAAAATACTAAGAAAAATATTCTACTTTAGAATATAAGATTAAAACCCTATGTTGTCATTCAAATAAAAAATTAAAAATTAAAAGATAAAAAATAATTAAAAATATAATTTTTTTATATAAACGTTGTTTTATAAGCGACTTGAAACTATGTAAAAAAATATTCTCAAAAAAATTTACACTTTTTGAAATAATGAGTGTTGTTTGAAAAAGAATCACCCAGTATAAATTGTCTGGTACTATGGTGTCCTTATCAGGCACGTGATTTCTATAATACTAAAGTAGATAAATCATTTTAAAATTCTTCTCAACCAAATATATAATATTGCAGATAATACAATTCAATTTATTATACTTGTATTTTACTTATTTTTTAGAAACCAGATATTGAATATACCATGGAAAACATGAATCAAACATTAGATTATTATTCTGTTGAAGATGGAAACACAGTATTAATTAAATGGTAAAAATAATAATGCAACCTTAATTTTTAATTATTAATCTATTAATTGTATTTTCCAATATTTTATTTTGTACTTTTAACAATTTTAAGTTGTTTCATTGTTTATTAAATAAAAAAAAATTATATATATATAAAATTAATGGAAAAAAATGAGCAATTTAAATTGTATTATTTCATATTTGTGATATTTAAAGGTGTTACAGTATTATGTAGTCTAGATATGGCAGCTTGTACCATACGTTGCAAAACCTCATCTTCGCATGTTACTTCCTATAAAGAAACACATCTTAAGTAAAATTAATTCCACTTAACATTAAAAAAAAACATACCAAATTCTTTAAATTAATATTAGCTTTTTTCCCATCAACAGCTACAAACAATTTTTCACCCTTAAATATTTTTGGTACAGATTCCTCACCAAACATTTCTTGTAAGATTTCAATCAAACATTCCTACAAAATAGATTATTTTATATTATTTTGTATAAAAATATTAAATAGACAAATTTTAACCTTGAAATGCATATGGTCATACTCGGTAAATGGAACCGATGCCACATTTTTCATATCCCCGTGACTCATTGACTGAATCTTCATCAAAACTTGTACAACAATATCTGCATACATATCATTTTCAGGTGTAGTAGTCCATTCCAGGGTAGCAAAGTTTTTATCCACAGAGACATCTACTGAATTTAATACTCTTAACTTTTTGTTGGGAATAATTATTTCAGGTACACTGCCAGTCAAATGTGACAACATATTTTGTAATACCGTAAATGATGATGTAAATCTGTGAAGTTGTTTTTGTTGAATTTCACTTAATAACATATCCGAATATCCTATTAAAAAAAAATGTAAAATTTATTCATCCTAAATTAGTGAAGAAAAAAAATAATTAACAGGAGTGACTTTATAGTGATGCCTATTAAATTGATTTTAAATGAACATTCCATACTTTGTTTAAAAATAAGAATGTCCAAGTATATATATATATTCAATTTAACTCAATTTTGAACGTTCAACCCTTGTAGGGTTTTTATAACAGATATATATTTTTCCTTTTATATGCAGTATTCTTTACATTACTCATTTAATAATTTTATATTTAATATGGAATGATAACCTTCACAAAAAGGTTTCACAGACAATTGATTTATCACTATAATCCAAATATATTTTCCAACACTAGTTTTAAAAATATTTTCTCCAGAATTAAAAAAAAATGGGACAGAAGTGTATTAAATAAAATTAATTCTATAGATCCGTTAGAATGTATTTAATGTCAATGTTCTCACATTTTTCATCAATGTTACTTATGTTTATTTACATCAAACAAATTGTAATTCATACTTAAAAAATGTTAAATGATACTTTTTTGTTGTTGTCCCACCACTACCCTATGTAAAATGTATTGTGCCACTCCATTATACTCAAGACATTTATTATGTACTCCATAGACATACTAATCGACGGAGCATCAGGGCAAAGCGCGGTTAGGTGGTGTGGTTTCGTTAGAGGTTGCAGTTATATACTTATATATACAGATATAATAACAATTACAGTAAAATCAAAAATTCTAGTGTGCATGTGCTGTGTCCGTTGTATACCAAAAACAACTCACTCTCGTTAGACCACTGAAACTACAGTCATGCTCCATCTAGTAGTATAATGTCTATGATATAATACTCTTAACAAAATTTTTTTTTTTTTTAATATCATATATTCTATGTGAATTCACTTTTTGTGACATGAAGAACTCAATGTAAGTATAAAAATGATAAACATAAGTCCATAACTTTCAAATAAAATAAAATTATAAATATTTTGTAGTTTTCAATTAATTGACTACAAAAAAAAAATAAATAAATGGTTTTATAAAAATCTTTTGATTATCATTCTATGAATACTACTTCACACTATTTCATTTGTTTAAATAATATACTAAATATTACAGCAAATAACTCATTCATATTAATTTTAAACAATATTTTAAAACTATGCTTGTAAAATAGGTACGGCATAAAATTCAATAATCTAACTTAAGTATTTCGCATAAATAGATCATGTACTAGAATTGCATAGCTCAGGGGTAGGGCTGTTCGATTGTCATAAAATATAATCGATTGTCTAAAGTATTAAATAATCGGAAATCTCGATTAATCAAAGTTTTTCATCAAGGAGTGCTAGAGTGCTCGATTGTTGAAATAGTCAAGGATCTATCGATTAATTTGATAGATAAATCTATTAAAAGAATTAATTAATCGATTAAAACAAAATATCAATAAAAGTTTAACGATTTTTAACTGGTTTAAGTATAGGCGTATAGCTCTATTATATTTCCTGCCAGGTTTAAGTTTATTGGTTAACTCATTTAAGATTTCTCAAAAAATGCAATAATTTATTATTATATATATATAATAGATTAATATTTAATATACTTTTGAAATACTAAGAAGTATAAAGGGTATTCTGTTTGATGATTAGAATGATGATAGATAACATTTTGTCATTGTGTGTGCCGTCCGAGGGCAGTGCAAACGGGTCACTTGCCCAGGCCCTAGGGCCTAACGTAGTAACGTATATTTAATAACAACAACATTTGAATGGGGAGCTAAGAATATGACATAACTAGTGTCACACATTTTAAGATCTAAAGTGGTGCCAAAAACTGAAATTGTAATCTTATGTAGATGGGTTATCAATTTTTGTGAAAAGGCTCTAATTTTTAGTTATGAGTTATGACTTATGCTATTATTATAGGAAATGTATTAAAAATTGTAAAGATTAAAAGTAGTAAAACTCACAGTGCTTGCATTAAAATTAAAATAAATCCTTATCTATTGACTATTTAGCAAGTATCATAATAGTTAATTATAATATTTCATTATGGCCTATAGTTTTCGATTAATCGGTGATGAATACTTTTAAAAATAATAATCGATTAATCGATGCTACAATCGAAACAATCGAACAGCCCTACTCAGGGGTGTCCAACCTTTTGTGAAGACTGGACCACATCATATGGGTAGAAGTTGTTGTGGGCCACATACTTTTTAATAATAATATATTCAAATTGAATGATTAAATTGTATTCTATAATACAATAATTCATTTTTTTACAATTTTACTATAGCAAATAATAAGCAGAAATATTTTTGTTGATAAATGACACGGAATATTGCTATTGGAGCCAATAAAAATATAACACTAATAAAGTTTATCTTTATTTGATGTTTAATATTTTGTAATTTTGTATTCTTAAAAAAAATTTTTTCTCGCAATATTAATATATTATATTATACAATTAATTAATGGTTTTTAAATTGAAGTGAAGGCCTCATAAAAATCTACCATGGTGCGCGGTTTGGTCACCCCTGGCATAGATGATATCAAGAAAAATGGATGATAATTTTGAAATTTTTAGACAGACTGTCAACAGAAAATTGCTTCGTGGCAGATCGATACATTTTATACTTGGTTCCAAGTCAAATTCCTAATCAACTATTTATTTGTGAAAATAAATAAAACCATAATATTAATAATTATCTTACTTGGTATATCTTCAGAAGCAAAAATATGGTAGCTAAAATTTTTTTTTAATAAAACGCCACTTAAAATATTATCTTCTGCTGGTTTCTCAACAGCTATTTCTCCCATTACCTAAACATAAAACAATTAATATAATAAATTAAATGGAATGATTATTCTACCATGTTAAATGTGAACCAAGCAAATAACATACTTTAGCAGTTTTTTCCCCAGTAAAATAAAAATCAACTCCTACTGTATTCCGAGGGTTATACACTTTAATATCTTCAGAGTTTTCTTCATATTCTCTAACCAAAGCAGATTTCAACCTTTGCATTTCATTTTGTTCTCCGTGTACCAATACCTAAGTAATAAGAAAATTATGTCACATAATTTATTTCTTCAAATACCTTTGTTTTATTAATTATTTGAGATACTCACAATATGGGGTGGTTTTAAAATGTTTATAAATTCTCGTGTTTGCTGATAATCTGTATGTGCTGAAAATGATATATAATCTACAGACATTTTCAATGGTAACTTCTGACCAGTCATAGTTGTGATATCTTCAGGTTCAGATAAAATAGCTTTAGCTAGTGTTCCTTGTACCACGTAACCTAAAGTAATTGTAATAAATAAAAAATTTTCTATAATAAGATAAATTCCTCATTTTTATTTTACCAGCAATTATAACTCCATTTTTACTATCTGTACACCACATTTCAAAAAGCTCTCTAGAAAGACCACTTTCCATGACACCTGGTGATGCCATTATAACACAAGGACCAATATCTTCAAAATGATCAATGCTCTAAAATATTAATATTTATAATTAATAATTTGTTTTAAAATAATAAAATAACTAATTTAATCATTTGATTAGATTTAGGCAAAAAGTAATAAAAAGGAGAAGTGTTTTAAAAATTTGCATTCGTAACTCCTGAGTACTTAATAATTTAAAGGCCCGGAACATGATTTCCTAAAAATCTTAAAAACAATGTTAAAATTACTTAAAAACATCAAAAATTACTAAAAAATACTAAAAGATATTAAAAATTATCACAAAAATACAAAAAATACTTTGACATTTTTAAAAATTTACGTTTTATACAATTTATGTTTCATAAATTGTAAATATTAAAGCGCGTCCAGACGAAGCAGCTTTTGACCATCGGCACGGCCACGCGGAAAATACGCGTCCACAAGGTGTGGCTTTTGAAAAAACTTTGTTTTGCTATTAATTAATTAAAAAGTAAGTACTGATGCCGCGCGGCTTTGCTGAAAATACGTCCACACACGCGGCACAAGCCGAGCGGCTTTCCTTTGATGTAGACCCCCCTACTAGACCGATCGGAAATTATGCCGTACGGCATCAAAAAGCCTTGAAAAATGTATTTATGTATTCATACTCGGATGTAAAGACGAGTCTCGAATGTAAGCATTAGAAAAAAAGATGCAAATAGGAAAATAAACACATGCATTTTTTTTTTTAAGACTATTGTAATTTCATTGTTTATGTTTTATTAAAATGATTAAACTATTAATTATACTTAATATTTATGAATATTAAATAACAGCATACTTTAAGGTTCGTAATATGTTTAAAAACAAATGGATTGTTAACAGCAATTTGACGTTTTATACGATCATTCATAGCATTAATATATGTCTGGTACACAGCCATACATTTTTTAGCCAACGATGATGCATAATATATAGGAATATCATGAAGTTCTGGGTGAAGACCCCAATATTCATCTAAAAATTTCAAATAAAAACATGAATAATAAATAATAACAGTGAAGTTTGTTATGATAAAATATAGTATCTTTTTTACCTAAGATTAACAATAATTCTTGAGCTCGTCCTAACGCAAAAACTGGAATCAAACATCTTCCACCTCGATTGACAATATCATTGACAAGCATAGTAAACCGTCGTTCCCGTTCTTCACGTTTTTCATGTATATGAGTTCCATAAGTAGATTCCTAAATAACACAAATCATTTTAAATTTGTAAATTTGTATTTATAAACCACAATCACAACAAAATTTACAGTAATAAGAATTTCCGGCCTTGAAGGTGGTATTTCAGCAGCCATTAGATGCCTGTCTTCTTGTCTTGAAAAGTCTCCAGTATACAAAACTTTAACACCAGCAATTTCGATCATAAACATTGCAGCTCCTAACACATGGCCTGCATTATAAGCACAAAAACGAATACCACCAACATCTTTTTCTTCGTGGAAATTTATTGTTTCTATACGATCCATACTCTTTTCTAAATCAGCCTCAGTGTAAAGCATCTGTTCAGTACCTATGTTACTGAATTAATAAATTATTGCTTAATTAGTAAAAACTTAAAATTTGTTTTAAAAGTTTGCACACAAATAAAACAATATTCATTTAAAAAGTTCTTGAAAATAATACTGGGATAGTTTATCATAATAACATACAATAAATGAAAAAAATAGTTATGAGTAGAGCTGCCACCTCTCCGGTTTTACATATTAACTACCAGTTATGGGTCTAGTGAACAATTCTCTGGGCCATTATAAATAGTACTATACCTACTTAAACTATTTCTTATATTTCATTACCTACCTTATCACCCCTCATAAACACATCTTTCATAAGTAATAGGTGTATTAGCATAAATGCAGTGCCGCAAAAACCTGGTGTAGAGCGTGTATGCTTACATACATTTGGAGGCCCCCGGGCCCAGCCTGGAGCCAACACTAAAAACGCAAAACTTTAATTACTCACAATAAAAACGATGATTTTACTGATGTAAAACCTAAAAATGTTGGCACTAATAGATTGTAAGACTAACAACAAAAATTAATTTAGGAAGGAGCCCAGTAAAAATACTGCACACGGGCCCACTTATTATGTAGTTGCGGCACTGCGTATAGGCATGATGTCTGGTATACGGCCTACAGATGTATTTGGATAATCTTTTTTTTTTCAATGGGCATTCCATCTTTTAATGGAGTCAGTCCTAGTTATGAACTAAGTGCCTTTAATATCAAAAATACTAAAATACTTTTGTAAAAATAAATTACCTGACTTTAATGTAATCTGACAGTAACCATCTATATATGGCTTTAGTTGCATGAGTCATATAACATTTTCCTTTGAATTTAGTCTTGAGTAAAAACCACGGTAATGCTCCACTATGGTCCAAATGAAAACTGTAGAAAATAATAAGAACATATATTAATTAGAATTAATTAGGCGTAATTTTAGTTTTTTATAGCTGTCTATTTTATTTTTATTTACTGAGTGATTAAAAGTAAATCAATTTCGTTTGCTTCAATGAGATCCACAAATGGCAATGCATCTAAACCTTGGAGGCCTGGATGAATTCCACAATCAAGCTAAGAAATAATACAATTGAGTTAGATAAAAATATAAATTCATAAATAGAACTTAAGACTTGCCATAATTTTTTTGCCTTTGAATTCCATAACAATACATGATCTACCAACCTCTTGTCCGGCACCTCTAAAATATAAAATTTAATAAACAATTAATATTTTGTACCAAAACATAAAACACAATATTCGTAGTATAATGTATCTTATAAGTTCTGTAACAAATTATTAATAAAACACCAATATTGCATAGCATTATTTATTTTAACTAATAATTATTCTAGTAACTTATTTTTATACATTCATATTTCATAAAATATTGATAGATTAAAAAACTGAAAACAAAGTCTATTTCAAAATGTATATTTTTGACATGTTATTTTTACAGTTATAGTAGATAATAATATATAAACAATTAAATGGTAAATAATTATATACAATTATATAATAAAGTCGATAAATTATAATTAAAGTTTATAAATGTATAACTTAAAATATGAAAACCATGTAAATTTATGAAATAATTGAACAAATTGTGAGTACCTACCTAACATCATATTTTAAATTAAAATGTCTTCAAAGACACTTTAAGAAGATATTCAAAATAAAAATAACATTGTCAATGAAGTATCAGTTTTTAAAATATTTGTATTAATTACTTATTATTACATTTTCATAATGACCTAGTTTAAAATATTAATTATTATATAGAATAAAAATATAATTATTTCATACATTTTATGAAAAATATTTACTTAAATATTTACTATTCATATTTCCAAACTGTCCAATTTTAAGTCTGCGTCATCTTCTTCATCACTACAAGGATTAGAATTTGGAACCTCTGTTTTAATATGATTATCTGAAAAAATTATTTTAGCTAGTTCTTCGCGATTCAGATTCTTACACCAGTCTTCATATTCATCTTTAGGCACTTCAATTTCTGAGGAACACTCGTTATATTCATCCTCATTTTGATTATCTTCATCAATTACTTCTTCTAATCTTCTCATAATTTGTTGCCTAGTATAATCTAAATTGTCTTCCTCCATGTAATCACTGTAGAGCTTAATATGTTCATTTCCACAAGAAGGTAAATTACCAGATAAATACTTCTGCCATGCTCTTTCTAAATATCCATACATAACATTTCTTATGTCTTCTATAAACTCCTTTTTAAGCCAACCAGCATGTTTACTACAAGTAGTTGATAGAGATGCATTTTTAAGCATCTCTTTCACTTCTGGCAAATGTATATCACACAGTTGATAGTTAGCAACAATTGATAAAGGAAATGAATTTGGAGAAAAATAAAATTGTTTTTCAGCTGTATTAGGATTATAATCTTCGATGTTGAATTTTGCTATTTTGGGATTAGACGAATTGTGTTCATCAAACCATTGATTGCGAATCTCAATTACTTGGTATATGTAATTTGATGGATCGTTGTGGTAGTTGTACCCATGCCTGTAAATAAAGATGTAAAATTTAATACACCCATCTCTACTCCTAAGAAATAAAATAAATCATTAAATAAATTACCTGACCCACATGCGCCGAAATGGTCCAGTAGTGGTAAAATAGCCAGTGGTTGGTAATAGGTATTTCATCTTTTCCTTATTTATAACTTTGGCAAAATGAAATAAAGCCGGTTTTACCCAGATTGGCCTTTTTTCAAATAGTTTATCCATCAATCTTTTTTCATCGGGAGAAAACATTTTTACAGTTAAACAATACTTTAATAAATCCAGAGGCATGGGTGGTAGGTCAGTATCCTCAAAACGATTATTTTTAGTGAAATTGCGTACATATGGCCTTAATCTATGTCTTTTAGACAACATATCCAATTTTTTAAGATTTACCATATCATAAAAATCTGTCTGAGGTTCATTGAATTTACTTAGCTTGCTAGGTAGTAATGATAAAGGCACATCTTTTTCTAAAGCCCAATTTATATCCAATAATTTATTTGTACTCCATAATTCAGAACAATTGGGATTAGGCGGAAAATATGCAAAATCTATAATATTTGTAAATGTAAACGTTTTTTGTACAAATCCAATTACATGAGCTGGTAAAACTTCTATAGGAATTTTTTCACCGGTTTTTTTATTAAATTTATATTTTGTTTTTACAGCGACCAATAATGAACGTTCATAATGTTTGTTCCCTGAGAGTGATGGTCCAAATTCTGATCTTACTAAGTTGACAGACAGCGTAGCTTCTGAATTCTCAAATGCATGAGTAATCTCATCAATGCCTCCAAGATTGTCAATTGCTCGTTCAGCATTATTAACAATACCAGGATAAATTATACAATTTAAAAGTTTTAGTTTGGAAGGACTAATAATTTCAGCTTCTTCGGATGATTCCATTATTCAAATATAATGAAACTTAAACTAAATAATAATGATTTTAATGGCTTACAGAGGTTTAATTGTAAGTTTATCATTTTCTTCTTCAGATATCTGAATTTCCTCACTCTTCTTATCTTGAACCGACAACATTTTTCCTAAACAAAATCAAATAAAAGACAGACAAAAGAAACCAATAACAACAAAAGTTATTTTGTTCTAATATTGTAAGTTATAATAGAAAGGAAGTTATGTTTTAACTCATGTCTTTTTCATTTATTTAAAACTTAAAATTTAAGTTTTACTTTAGAATCTAGTAGTTTCTAGTCTACGAAAGTGAAGTTGTTGTAGTTACGTTACTGTCTATATAGTATATAAACTATAAAGCTGATAAATGATAATCCTAAAATCTTTGAGGTTACATTTAAATATTTAATAAAACCGCCAACCGGTAGAGAACTGGCATGAACTGGTAACTACCACCCATAGATATTATTTATATTATGTCTATGCTACCACCACTGTCTACCAAAACTACTTCCACAGCTGAACACTCGGCACTCGATCAGCTGATAACCAAAAAAACTCAGTTTTTTTTATAGTTATTTTATGTTAAAATGTATGTTAAAATTTGGTGGAAATTACATATTAAATAACCAAGAATAACGATTTTATATAGTTATTTTGTTGTAATTTTATAATAATAATTCAACTTACGTCTTACCGTATAAGTAATAAAATTATAAATTTATATTTTGTTTTGCTTAAATTCTGCATAAAAAACTAATTTTGTTTCTCTAACGTGTAGTCAACGCGATCTAGTAGTGAACCTAACTTGGGTAATATTTTCAAACCTCATCAATCCACCTTATCGCGTATTATTTATCTGGATGTTTGTGATAGCACAGAATTCTGTGGTGAAGCCACGGACTAAGATAAACAGGACTGGAAACGATAGACGGGAGGAGTGCGGATAGCCGGAACCATAGTGTAACGCTTGTAGTACATGGACAAATGTGGCTCTATCTATTGATAATATTTAGCATTTGTTACACATATATTTATTTGCATATTATTTTTGTTTTATAATGTGGGGCGACAATCCAAAACGTACTATTGCCAAAATTGAAGAAATTGAGTTACATAATGATTCTTATAGAAATTAAGGCAGGGAATCGAATAGTGCAATCAAATTGTGACAAAACGTACTATTTCCCTTGTTAAAATCAATCTGAAACTCATAAATGACGCAAAACGCACTATTTCCAAAGCCAAAATTTGTCTAAATGCACTATTTCCAAAATTACGTCAAAACGTAGTATTGTCCATGTTAAATAGTTTGTTTATTGACAAATACTGAAATACGTACCAATTACTCGAATTGTACAAAACGTACAATTTCCAAAGTAGGCTCATATGTACTATTTCCCTAGTATGAAGATAGGGAATATAATTAAATTGAATACATAAGTACATAACGTACTATTTCCAAAATCGTGGAAAAAACGGGTACATTTACAAAATATAACATCACCTTTACCTATACCTACCTAATTGATTTTGCTTTAAAATATAATTAGGTATTCAGCTTATATTCTATGTATTAATGTATATTTTTTTCAACAATCATTTAAAATTGAATCAATACAGTGTATACTATATTACTATGTACTTTAAACAACAAATTTATTTCAGTTAGATATATAAGCAAAGATTATTAAAGAATTAATAAAAACTTACAAGTTACAAGGATATATTTATTTTTTATACTGTAACGAATAATGGTGATCACTGGACACTGATGTATTAATATTTCGTAGAATGGATCATAGATGGCGTTAAAATCGCACTTGTACCAGAAGCGTTACACTGTAGTTCCATAGATGACTATCTCGTTTCCAGTCCTGTATATCTTAGTCCGTGGGTGAAGCATGAAGATTAGAGATCTCTGTGGTTGAAGTCTGTCGTCTGCATATTAATCATAGAGTAATATAGAGAGGCCGTTTCCCTATACTGCCTGTATGACAGGTTGAAGCGCAGTTGGCCTCCCTTTTGCAGGGTTTCCATTTACAAAGAACAAAAAAATGTACAACTAAAACTTAAAGTCAACCTGTTTGACATAACTATTAAGTGATAACTGAATAACTGATAATGTTTATCGTTATTTATTTACGGTTTACTTGATTAAATGATTACCACTTGTTAATTGTTTTACGTTTAGTAAATTGTTTATTATTTACCCACTTGAGCTAGTACGTACTACGTCCTAATTTGTATTATTTTGTTTAATTTCAATTGTTTTTATTGAAAAATGCCGAGCTGTTTTTGTTGTAATAGATCGAGAAATGCAAAATCCAAAAGTGCTAATATCTCTTTTCATAAGTAAGTATCATGAATAACAACCGTTATATTTTGAATATTATTTGTGTTTGATCATCTTTATTAATATGTATTTTATTTATATATAAATGTCTTTTGCATTCATATAATTATCATTTATTTTTACTTAGGTTTCCAGCTAAAGAAAATATTAGAGTAAAATGGTTGAATTTCATAAATGAAAATGGTTTGAATACAAATGATATCACTAAGAACAGTTTAATTTGTTCTGCTCATTTTGATTTAGCTAGTTTTACTTGTAATGAAAATCAAAACATGAGGATTCTAAAAAAAACTGCTGTTCCAACATGTATTGTTGAAAGAGTGAAAAATGTAAGTTTTTGTTTTATTGTATATACAAAAAATGCCCAAGCATTAGATTTTTTATTTTATATTAATTATTATTGCATTTTAGCCTAAAAATGTTTATCCAGAATTAGTAAAACCTCTCCTGCCAAGTTTTTCAAACTCTGATGTGTCTAGTACAAGTAACAACTGTATTGTGTTTGAAAGGACTGAAGTCAAGGTGAATAACCTATTTTAACTAATTACACATATTTATGCATTTTTGTTTTTAACTTCAAATAATTATAATAACTTTTTCTATTTTAGTCATCTTATGTGTATGAATTAAATACAGAAGAAGACATGGATATTTCATTGATATCCGTTGGTCAAGGCTTACAAAAAAGTGAAAATATACATGAACAGGTACCTAATTGGGTGCTATTTTATTATTTATTAATAATTTTATAGATAATTTTGTATTCTTGTTATATTTTAGGAATTGGCTGGTTGTAATAATAGTGCAAACGATGAAGATGAGATAGCATCATTGTTGCCAGTTGATTCTTCTTCCACTTCACCATCCATAAACATAGAAAGCACTTCTGATAAATTCAGTATTAAAAAACCTTGTGTAAGTATGACTATTTAAATTAAATGGTATAAAATTATATTTGTTGTTTGTTTATTATGCATTCGAAGTACCTGCATGATTTTAAACTCATTATTTTTAATTTAGATGAACTCCAAACATGAAATATCACTAATGGATGCTAGCAAGTTCCATGCATCAGATACTCCACGTCGTCGCTTCCTAAAACGAGGAATTCAGGCACTAAAGGGTGAACTTAAAATTAAAGATATGAAGATTAAAAATGTACAACAAACTGTTAGAAGACAGAAAAAGAAAATTGCATCAATGAAAACGATCATCACCAAATTGCAGAATGAGAACCTCATAAATGAAGATGTTGGCTTCACATTGTTGGAATCTTTTGGTAATAAACAAGATTTAATCATTAATTGGGCTAAAAAAAATATGGGTAAGAAAGTTCCTAAAAAATATAGCCCATCTGTTAGGCAATTCGCTTTATCGTTGCACTTTTTCTCTGTTAGAGCATATGAATATGTTCGACAACAATTTAATACTATACTACCACACCAGCGTACTCTTAGCAAATGGTATGCTAATGTTAATGCTAATCCAGGGTTTACACAAGAATCCCTTAAATCATTAACACTCAAAGTAAAAAATTCCACTAATCCGGTTTATTGTGCCCTGATGATGGATGAGATGGCTATTCGCCAACATCTTCAATATGATAGCTGTACTGGAACATACTACGGCCGTGTAGATTTAGGCAATGGAATGACCAATGATAGCCTCGATATAGCCAAAGAATGCTTTGTACTTATGGTTGTTTCTGTGACTGAAAATTGGAAGCTACCAATTGGATACTTTTTGGTTAGTAATCTTAATAGTTCCCAAAAATCTGAATTAATTAAACATGCTTTAACACTCTTACAACCAACTGGTATAACAATAATAAGTTTAACGTTTGATGGATGTGCAACCAACTTAACTACTGCAAAACTTTTGGGTTGTGATTTTAATATTAATACCTACCGCACGTCTTTTGTTTTTGATAACAACGAAATAGTGACATTTGTGGATCCTGCCCATATGATTAAGTTAGTGAGAAATGCTTTTGGAGAGAAAAAACAATTTATGGATGAAGAAGATAATATGATTGATTTTGAGTATATATTAAAATTATTTTGTTTGCAAGAGAAAGAGGGCTGTCATTTAGCAAATAAATTAAGAAAAGAACATATTTTTTTCTGCAAGCAAAAGATGAAAGTTAAGCTTGCATCACAATTGCTTAGCCAGTCTGTTGCCGATGCTTTGAGATTTTGTATGGATAATTTGAAGATGGATGAGTTTTCTGAAGCTGGCGCCACAATTAAATTCATAGAAATGTTTAATATTGCATTCGATATACTAAATTCACGCTCGATTCATTGTATAGGTTATAAAAAAGCATTGTGTAGAGAGAATGTGAATGTTATATCCATATTTAAAGACAAATTCACCAATTACATAAAAGGTCTTAAGGTAAAAGAAATTGATGGATTTGTACCTGTTTTAGATTCCAAAAGAAAAACGGGGTTTATAGGATTTATTGGAGGATTACATAGTGTTTTAAAATTGTATGACAATCTTGTAGACTCAGGCAAATTAGAACACTTAAAGTTGTACAAATGTAGTCAGGATCATATTGAATTGTTTTTTGGCACAGTAAGAGCATCAGGAGGTCATAATAATAATCCAACAGCACAACAGTTTCGAGCCGCATATAGAAAATTAGTGATTAGAGTTAATGATGTTCAAAGCTTTAATACCGGCAATTGTATACCTCTTGAGGATATTGATATCTTACATTATTCTAGTATAGATCCTATTAAAGTACTGAATAATAATTCTATAGGTATTAGTTCAGACACGGTTATTGATGAGGTAAATGTTCAAAATATAAATTCATTAATCATGGACCACGATTATATTGGTAACAATTCTGAACATTCATCAAGCCAGTTTGCAAAAGAAATTATAATTTATATAGCCGGTTTTGTAGTTTACAAACTTACCAATTCACTTAAATGTGAAGAATGTAAACTTGGATTAGTGGCTGTGGAAAAGGATTGTTTTTTGAACTCATTAATTACTTTAAAGAATAGAGGAGGTGAAAAAGGAGGATTAATGTACCCCAGTGAAGATGTCATTTCAATTTGTTTTAAAACTGAACATTTTTTAAAAAGTTACAATTATAAACAAAAAGCAATCAATAGATTAGAAATCCAATCAAAAGTTTTGGCACATTATTTGTTCAGTTCAACAATATTTAAGTCTTTAATAACCCATAGTCAAGAAACACGCAGCCCTTTATCAGACCATTGTACTCTTTTAATAAAATCAATTGCAACTACCTACATAAATTTAAAAATTAATTACATTGTAAAAAAACATAATGAAACACCATCCCTTAGACAATGGTACAATAAACTTACCCTGTTTAGAGGTCAATGAATTTAAATGTTTTATAGTTGTTATCATTTATATTAAAGTAATACATTAAAAAAAAATTGTTTGTTGTAGTTTTAAATTTTGATATGTATGTTAAGTATTAAATATAAATAACTAATTGTATAATATTGTTGTATTTTAATTAAAGGTAAAGAATCGTAATAAATCAAAAAATCTGATGACGTTCAACAGATGACAGATGACATATGTCTTATTTCTACGCTGTTAATTAACAATATTTGGTAAACAAAAGTATTTAAAAAAAAAATATGCTTAGACAATTGTGTGAGTATGGATATTTCAAGTCAAGTATGTATTTAGTAGTAAGTAAGGTATTTTCTTTTTTAGACCTAGAGTTTAAACTTGTACTTTTGTTTATAATTTCATAACTTTTCACTACATTTCAGATATAAATAACAGTTAATTTTGTTTAATCTTCATTTATTTTAGGTTCTGCCATAATTAGATTAGATTTGATTAATATGCATATGCATATAATATGTATTGTAATAAGCTTTTTGAAAATATTTGTACCCGATTTAGATCATTCTTCTTAAAATAACACTGATTGTATTTTGCATATTTTGCATGATTCCAAGTGTTTGACAGAAACCGATCAGGGAATATAGATTGAAGATATAGAATGTTAAATGGCAAAGAACTTAGTGAAGACGACAAAATACTTTTTTATACCTTTTTTAATACTTATTTTTTAGGTATAAATCTAATTTTATGGACACCCTTTTTTAAAATTTTTTTTTTTTTTTAATTTCGTGTTTTTCATGCTAAAATCAAAAGTGTTTGAAAATATTTGTGGAAACTTACTGTTCAAAAGTTATAGCAATTCAAAATTGTCGATAATACAAAATATGCTAATTAACTAATTTTCACCTGATGTCCGGGCTAACGAGTGACCATGCTGGCAGTAAGTGTACTTAGAAAACAATATTGATGAAAAAAAGGGTGTCCGGTAAAATAGATTTGTTCCATTTTTTACATGATTTATTATGTTTGTAACTATTAATTAATATTTAATATCATCGAAGACTCCCTTCTTGACAAAAAAAAGTGAAAAAATACATCTAAGAAACTTTAGGTATACTTAAAATTGTGTTACATTATATAATATGAATTAAGTTTAAATTTAAAATAAATAATTAAATTATTTTTATTATTATTATTGTTATTTTATTATTTGTGAAAACCTGTCAATTTATATTTGATTACATACATTATTACATGGTTCATCTACTCATTAAACCCTAAGATTGTTATGAGTAGGGTTCAAGCAGAACAAAATATAAATATTAACTAGCATGAGTATGCACTGAAAACTTAATATATTAAATGTTTTCTTATACTATCCAAATTAGACAGACAATTATCATTAAAAGTATATTTGGTAGTCTATTACTAGGGTATAGGCCAGTGGTGGCTACGGGGGGGGAGGGGCGTTTTCCCTTCCCATTGGGCTGTCTTTTTAACGTTATCTTTTATTATTATATTAGGCTTAGCCAAAAGGTTATTCAATTTTTGAAAATTCACTCCCTTGGGTGATCCGATAGTGGTATAGGTCTTAGTTTGAATAATACAAATTTTAAATTCGAATTCGAATTCTTAAAACCTTTAATGTATTAATATGTATACTAAATGCGCTTCCCCAAAAAGGTAACTCATTACTTAAAATGGATCTAACCATACAAACAAAATTTATAACTTATAACTAATTTTGTCAACAAAATATTAAGTATATTTTCAGTGTTACCCGGACAATACATGAACAATATGTTACATGTTTGATATGGCTAACCTGTAAAAGGGAGTCTAACTGCGCTTCAACTATTTTATTGAACGGCCTCTCTATATTACTCTATGATATTAATAATATATATCTATAATCTATGGTCGTCTGTGATTATAACTGATAAGTGAATGTTTGACATTAATAAATTGATAACTTAATATTTATACATTAGTTATTACAAATTACAATACAATAATTAGGGCTAAAAGCCTAAAAATTAAAAACATGTAAATTGTTATTTTTTGTTTGTATGTAAATAATTATATAAAAACATTGTAGAAATGTGACCATTTAATGCAATTGTGTATTCTAGTTTAACTAGTTCTATGTATTAATTGTATTACTTTGGTTGTGTAACTGGGAAGTTAGGTAGCCTAATGGATTTATTTTTGCCATAACGGTTTAAAATTACCAGCAAAAAATGCACAATCTGTCCCAAAGACTGACATTTGGCTTGTTGTTATTACTGTTGGCAGATATAATATGGATAATGTCATCAAAATTCATTAACGTATGTTGTATAAATATAATATAAACCCTATGAATAATATTTTTCTTCTCATCAAAACTAACAAATTTAATAAGTGTTATCACATCTTAAATAATTTAGTTAAGAATTCATTTTAAATGCATTTTATAGACAAGCATAGATAAACATTTCAAAAATTCTGCACAACTTTTAATTATTGCAATTGCCAATTATAAAGCTATATGTTTTTGTTTTTCAGTATGTTCCTTACAAAACTGATGATTACAAAAAGCCATTCTTTTTTGCCTATACTAAAGCATCGATATTTACTCTTTACTTTTTGGTATATATAATATTTAAGGAATTACGGAAACCTTGTGGAAACCAAACTAATTATATGGTAATTTTAGGTAAATGTACTTAATTTTTAATATTCTAAGTAAAAGTATTATATTATGATGTTGTAGTTTGTTAATTTTGATACAATCGAAAATGGTGATGATGATGAAGAAGATGACAATGTATTTACTGATGAAACTGAAAGATTAGTAAGAATTTAAGTTCTTATTATTTAATGTAGAAATATTTCCTTTTGAGTTCACAATATTAGTCCATGTTTCAATTATATTTACTGATTAATCATACAATGTATTTTTGTTTCTAAAACTACCTCATTTTAATACAACTCGCAGACTAGTTTCAAATAATTTTAGTTGAGGTGTCATGTCATTTTTTAATTTATCTTATACCGTTAAAATGTTCTGAAGATATTTCTGAGTTATTTTATATCAAAACATTCACAATTACATACATAATAAATACCTAGCATGTGTGCTTTATAACAAGATATACTGTAACTTGGATATTGTACTATCCAATAAAACTTTTTTCTCTTTAATATTTGGTTCTTGATAGTCATTGGGGATGCTTCATGGGGCTTGGCACCACCCCCTAAAATTTCAACTAAATGTTTGCCAATAAATCATTTTGTACAGTGGCATAACAATAAGTTCAAAATGGGAACTAGTGTAAAAATTATCATACTAACTAGGCAATTTTTTTTTATTATATTATACATTGTCAGGTATCTGCTGAATTCTAAGTTAAAGGGTTTGAACCCTTACTAAACTTAACTAACTTAACTTTAACTTTTAACTCGTTAATGCACAGCCTTGTAAATTTGACTTTTTTCTTTCAATATGGTAAGTATGTTAATATTATATTAATATGGTATTAACATTATTTGAAATCCATTTATCGTGTATTATGAATTATAATCACAAATTTGTTTTGAATAATATATAAACAATAAAACCATTTTTATACAGAGCACAGCAAGTTATGTTCCCATCAAAAATCCTAGTTTGACTTCTGGTACAGAGAGTGATGATTCTGGAACTGTTAAGCCAAATAATAAAGTTGTTCGATTTAACAAAGTTGCTGAGGTAATACAATTCTTGTTAAATAAATAAATTTGTTTTTCAGTAAACAGACTTCTTAAATCTAATTTATTAGAATTATTGGCAGTGATATTAACTTAAATCACTAAAAAAATTAAAATTGATTAATTTTTAAATATTATTTATATCAAATGGTATTAGTAACAAGTGTAACAGTTTATAGCTATCAATAATATTTTAATACTACTCTTAAATTAATTCATTTAACTACCTAGTATAATAAGTTTTTGAACAAATAAATAATTTATGTTTATCTGTACATTTTAAGTAATGTGGACCTATGAAGATGCTTTTTGTCAATAAATTGGCTGGTACTATTGTTGATAATTTAATAACCACTAATACATTTCTAGTAAATAATAGAAATTAAAGAAATTAAATTTTATCGGTTTTATTATTTATTATCATTTAATTATAAATCTATTATTAAATCTATTTATTTATTAATTATTACAGGTTAGACATTTATCTGAAACAGAAGCTACAGAAGCATTAATGGCTCGTTTATCATATGCTGCTACATTAAGAGCACGAGAAATTTGTCGTTTATCAAGGCAATTATTAAATCTTCACCAAACTGCAAAGCTAGCTTTCACAGTAGCTCCGCTTGTAAGAATTACTATACATTTATATAGTTGCATTTTTTTTTACTTCAGTACTACTGTATTAGAGTCAATTTATTTAACCTCTCCGCAACAGCTCTCAAGTGCTTAAATTAAAACATAATGAAACCAGAATATTGTTATCACTTCTTATCGAGTATAAGTCTAAATAATAAGACTAAATTTTTTTGTTATTTTTATGTCATAAGATCCTATTTATATATTCTTATTTTTTATTAAATAACATTTAACTTTAAAAAATAACAAACATAAGATTAGTCAATTATTTTATACCTTTATAAATTATACATGCATGTTAATTATACATGTGAATCACATGAGCTTTTTTTATTATTGTATGTAAATTTAATATTCCTTTTAAAAATATTGTGAATATTACAAATGCTGTTGCATTAACAGTTATTACAAATTATGTTTATATATTGTATGATTCTTTTTTTTTTTTCCAGTGGGGTGTTGCTAATTTATTACATCAAGTGTCTATGGTTTACATGGAACATACCCTAGTGTCTGTTGTATTGTCCACAACTAGCTTTTTCACTCTTCTGCTATCCCTATTTTTTGTTACACCTTCGACAGATCGCTTTACGGTCGCTAAATTAATAACTGTATTATTCAGCATAACTGGAAATGTGTGTACTCATTTAAATAATAATAAAAACAATAACAATAGTTTGTTCAAAATACAAAATATTATGTATTGTTTGTATTATTTAAATTTTATTTTTACAAAAGTGAATACTTGTCGATTCATTTTAATTAAGATTTAAACGCTTATTAACAACAAAATTTTAAGCAAACTAAAATAAATTTGTGTATTTTAATTATTTTTTTTACAAATGATGGTATTAATTATTTTATATTTACAGGTTATAATTACATTACCTGATTCTCATTTTAGTTTTAGTGAAATTAATGTTGGATTTGCATTATCCTTATGCAGTGCTATTTTTTATGCATTGAATATTGTTACATTACGATCTTGGGTAGATCACGAAGACAAATTAGATATCATATTGTACTTTGGTAACTTTTTCACAAACTAATTGATTTTTCTATTATGTATTATAATTTATATTATTGAATAAATTATTTTATTTTTAGGGCTTGTTGGTCTATTTAATGTTCTTATGTTCTGGCCGTTGTTCATTTTTCTTCATTATTTTGAACTTGAAACCTTTGAATGGCCTAATAAACAACAAGCAATATCACTGTTCATAAATGGAGTTGTAAAAGCAACATTGCCTGAAGTCATATGGTTATGGTAAAATAAATTGTTATACTTACTTTATTTTAAAAATCTAATTTGTTTTTATGTTAGGGGATGTTTGCTGACATCATCAATTATAGCAACAATGTCTATAGGATTGACTATTCCAATGTCTTTAATACTATCTGGCATCTCCAGTCAAAACAAGTCTGATTATGAGCGATTTTTGTTACCATCATTTTATTTAGGTTTAGTTCCTACAACTTTCTCTTATTTTTCTCTAATTTGGTTAACACACCGATTTAATTATAATCAAAATGAATACAATTGTCTAAGCCGTTGCCAGAGAAAAAATTTAATTAGGTGAATAAACAGAAAATATTAGGTACTTAATAAATATATTTATATTAATATTGTTTCATCTACAGGCTTAGAGATAGTGATGCTGAACAAGCAGAATCTCTTATACAAATTCACGAAACAGACAAAGAAGTATGATATAAATTATATTATTTATTTAGAAACTTCTAAGTTACTCACCAGAATTAATTATTTTTAGTATTTTTACCTCTTTTTGTGCAATGTATTATTAGACTTTACATTATTTATTTTGTGTTATGTTAAATTTTTGATCCAGATTATGAAATTAATAAAAAGGCCTACGTTGTTATTAATATCATCTGTTAAGATTGCTGGTGTCTGCTTATGTATTTACACCATAAATGAGTATTATCTTGTCAGTACCTAAATAAAGTTTAATTTACATTGTTTATTTTGTATTATGGGCACTACAGAAAAAGTTAATATATTATAATAAATTGGCTTATGTGTTAAATATCTGATATTTTGAATCTGGATTATAAATTTTGAATGTAACATCAAAACATTATAGTTAATTTTATCACAATATTATGTTACTTGATACTATATGTGTAACTTCAAATCTTTGTTTAATCTGTGTTATTATTTATATTTAATTTATTTTGAACTTTTATTTATACATTTTAATCATATTTACTACCTACTAAATGTATAGATCATTGAATACCTAATATATTAATTAATTGTAATTTGTATTCCTATAACATTTTCAACAATAATCACTTAATGTTTATACTGTAGTTTGTAATATCACTTGTTACCACGTATGAAATATACCAAATCTAAAAATATATGTCCTAGGCTCCTAATTCAATGTTTATTATTATAAAGCATACTTAAAGTTTGCAGTGTTAGCACTATATATAAAACTGTTTGCTTCTTTTTTAATTATTTAAATTTGAATCATTTTTTTTATACAAAATAAAATGGATACAATAACAAATATAATTGAACTTTGTTATTTGGATTTTGAACTAATTTCAATCCATAAAAACCATTACTTTCAATTTTAATCATAAGTACCTACATGGCTACATTTATTAACTTAAATATTTAATTTTTAAAACTATACTAAATTATTATAGAAGTCAACTTAGTCAATGCTAATCTCTATTGATTTGAATAGTGTTTTAAATGTGTGTATTATTTTTTATTTTTAGTTAAATCCACATTATGAACTCTTTGAAACGGTACCTAGTACCTTATCATGCAAATCTGTTAGAATGATATTTTACATTTATTTAGAAAACTATTGAACAAAAAGTCAAATTTCTATTACTAAATATCCAAGATATTTCAAGAAATAGTTGTATAAACAATGTTTTTCAGTGACATTGGCCAATGGACTAAAGACTAATAAAGTCATTTAAAATCCTACTAATATAATAATATGTAATGTTCTCTTCACAATGTTCTACACTTAATTAAGTACCAAAAACAATTGAAAATACCTATACTTATTACACAGTAGACAGTAGTCAGTAACATACAAATATACAATCACTCATTTGAAATATAATTATTACCTTGACTTCAATCTACAGTTGCATACTCTTACACTGAAATCTATAGTTGCATACACTTACACTGAAATCTAAAAGTTGTGTACCACTGTTACCTACTACAGTGGCATAGTGGGAACTAAATTCAGGCCAGGGGATTGAAATTTATCTAAGCTACCCAAAAATTGTTCTAATTAGATATCAAAACATTTTTTTCCCAAATATATTAATAGAGACTACAAAATTAGGTATTTGGTTTTTTTTAAAGTATATTATTAACATATTTACACATGTAATTAAAATTTAATGTTCCAATCAGAATGGCGGAATGTTAAAAACTGTTACAATATATTTCAATTACTATATAAAACCAAACATTACCAAATAAAACCAGTTAAAAAGTTCAAAATGTAATACATGGTTCCTAGTAAGTTGTCTTTAGTGGAAATTAGAAAAAAAGTTGAGCTTAAATCCATACCTACCTATTTTTTTTTTACGAGCGTCTGAATTTACTATTTTTTTGACATTGAAAATTTAACCATAAATTAATAATATTGAACAATTTTCTTATTTTGTCGTCATTAAAAAACAAATGCCTGTAGATACTTGAAATTTTCACTAAATGTTCATTTTATCTTTTCTACACATGATACAATTATTAAAATATTTGACTCTTTTTAAGCTATTTATAGACATTTTCCATTAACAGTTTTTTTTTCTATAGGTAAATGTCAATAACATTTTTTTGTTGGGTTGTAGAGTTTGAACATTTAATACAAGGTTCCTCATTAGCTGTAATAATAGTTATTGAAAAATATTAAAGATGCATAAGAATGATCTTTGTTATAAGTATTTGAATTTCGGCTAATCTCATCAAAATCTAGAACATTTAAAATTATTTCGTACCTAGTTAAAAATGTATAAAATGTTCAATATTTGTATAACTATGAATTACAAATGTAAAATAAGGTTTCTCATAAGTAGTTCATATTGAAACCAAAAAAATCTTTAAACACAGTTTCCTAAAAGATATTTTAAGTTCAAATTTGGACAAAATTAGTTGATAATTTTAAAGTATATTATTATATTGTATACACACTATGACAATATATGCGGTTTTTTGCCAAAAATTAATTCAACCTAGTAACCTACTGTATTAATAATGTCCAATAGTTAAATAAATTACTTTAATAGCAATAATATCATAAAAAAAGATAGGATTTTGATAACTTAAAATATTTAGTAATTATTTTGAATTTAAATTAAGTTTACTATAAAAAATTATATGAAATAATTAAAAAAATAAAAGTATAAAATAAAAAATGTCTGGTTTCAGTGTTTATCAAACCTACCAATATTAATAATACATTTTTCGAACAAATTTTCTTTAAAATATAAAATATATTCGAGAATAATGTCCTACATTGTACAAATACTACAAAACATGACATATAATATCAATAAATGACCTAAAAATGCAAAATAAAATTAGTATATTCTGAACCAAAAGAGCACGAAACAAATTTTTAGTTAAGATAGCTTTTTATAGGATCAAAAGAAAAAAATGCAAAAATCATCAACATCCATCTCTAATCAAAAAATATACTTAGTAAATATAAATATAGGCTCACAGACCATCTTCACTCAGAATCATTTTAAATCATTGAATTCAAATTTAACACATCCATTACAGTACTCTAGACACCTACTGTACAGCAGAGAAGTACTACCTGTCCACCTTTTTCAATTAATTATTACTACAATTTTCTTTGATAAATAATTTAATTAAAACATAAATCAGTAGTGAGTAGTCCACTTAAATTAATCAACATTTCTTGGAGATGATAAAGATTGGTAAATTAGAAATTCATTATTATTTGAAAAAAACTTGTCTATACTTCGCCAGCACAACCACATCATACATAACCTTACTACAAATATTTGTCTAACAATAACTATTGGACCAATCGTATAATTGTTTGCAAGAATTTCACCCTCAAAAGTAAACCAGGCACGGTCAGATATTTTCTGGTGGCAGAAGTATAATAATTCATGACCCAGGTGGATAATTATATAAAATATGTAATACCATATTATTGAAAGATTTTTAGTACAAATTACAAAATATTTATGCATTCCTGATTTTGTAAATAAAATATAATAAAAAATTATTGATATGGTATAATATGGGCTCCAGGCTGTATGAACTGACCCTGGCCTGAACTAACTTTTAACCAAGGTGTTTTAGGGCTAGTGGTACCGTCTACTCCAGGGGTCGTTAACCTTTTCAAATCAGTGAGCTACATTTAAAATTTTTAGTCCCAGGTGATCGACATCCAGGAGAATTTATGTATTTAGGAAGAGATTTGTTTTATGAGCAAAAAGTCTTAGCTCCAAAACAAAATATACTGAACATATAAGCGTTGCACACTTGCACGTGACAGTAAATTCCTAGAATACATTATAGCAATCCACATTATCCGAGTATTTATTACGCGTTCGACAAATAATGGTAAAATGTATTTTTATAACGATCGACCTATATTCCTAGAAAATTCGGCCAATTAAACTTTGGTTAACTTGAATCGGAGATGGTACAACTGGCCCTTAGTCTATAGTAGCCAATACAACTAAATTATAAAATAGAAATCTCAGAAATTTTTTAGTTTATAATTAGAAATTACAATCATTGCACCTACACTATTCAGAATAAATAGAAAATATTTATAAATTACAATTATTCTTTCAATATACAGTTATAAAATTTTACCAATTGAGTACCTAAGTAGTTGTATTTTATTAATTATTACACACAAAATAGACTTCATACATGTTTTATTCAACTTTACTTAACTTTACAACAAACATAAAAATAAATTTAAAGTGTTTCAGCTACTACACAGATATAAATATACTGTAATAACTTTTCAGAAATATTTATCTGAATAAGTAAAATGTTTCACATTTTCTTGAGGCCATTGTTTAGGCATGTATGGTTTATATCGTTTACACAAATAATCTCCAGAAAACATCAATCCACTTATTCCAAAAACTGCTGCGAACAATGACAATACTCTCTGCCAGTCAGGATATCTAGCTTTTTCTCTATAATTTGGGTCGCCTTTGTCTGAACCCCACATGTCAGAATGAACGTGCATTATCTCACCTAAGAAAATAAATAAAAGAATAAAAACCATTTCATAACACCAAGGTAACGAGTATAACTAACTATTTAGACTTACCAAAGTTTCTATTATGTTCAGGGCAGTCCCATGGATAATATTCACTTTTGGAATCTTGGCCAATGTCTGGTAACTTTGGATAGTCACCAAAACCTAGACCATCATCAGGGTGTGGTGCATACTCCTCCGGTAACAGGCCATACTTCTTTGCAGCAGCTAGTCGTTCCTCTTCAGTTTTTGGATATGGACCGGGCTTCCATGGTTCATGTGATACCACACTCCTGCTAGACACTGAATAAATAGCTTTGGTTCGCAACATCCCATTAATTACACGGGGTAAAGCCATGTTGAATGCTACTGACAGCAAAATTAAATAATTGGTTCAATCGTTCAATATTAATTTAATTTTGATCAATGAACAAAGATTAATAAATCAGCTTATCAAAGATCCAGCTGCAGTACTGGCGTACTGGAGACTGGAGTAGTGGATTAACTGGAGTAGTCACTAGTCAGTAATAAATGATTATTATAATTTTCAACAAATTTTCACGAAATAAATAATGTTGATAACAGCGAAGGACATTTAATAACCAGTAACCACAACAATGGTGGTCCTAACCATCAACCATGGTCCATGGATGAAAATGCTACCAGTGTGGTTCTTCGCTGGATGTTTTCGTCAAACAGAATTTGTTCTTCTTATCTCTATTTTTCATGTATCATGTTTACAACATAACCCGATAGGCGATAACGGGAATAAATCGTATGAACCATGGACATGGAAATCGGAAATTAACAAATATTAAATAGTCTACTTGTCTACTATAATATTTATTCAGCTTCTAGTTATTGTTAATTGTTATGAATACTAAAATTTAAATTTAACTTTAAATTTACAATGTCCGACACCGAGGATGTATACATGTGTGAAGATGACGAAGATTATGGTCTCGTAAGTATAATTTACACTATGACTGTGTAAATCTATACACTCTTTGTTTTCAATTTTTTATTATAAAACTTCAATTTGTATATATTTGAAATATATAACAATAACCCACATACATATCAATGTACCTATTAAATATATTCAAAATTTGTTTCAATAGGAATATTCAGAAGATAGCAATTCTGAACCCGATGTGGATTTGGAAAATCAATATTATAACTCAAAATCGCTAAAAGAAAAGGACCCTAACGCTTCATTAGTGTCATTTCAAAAAGTATTAGATCTTGAATCTGGTGAAAAGGGAGAATGGGGCTTCAAAGCTCTAAAACAAATGATCAAAATTAATTTTCGACTTGTGAGTTTAAAATTCAAATTTGTTATCTGAATATTTTATTCAAATAAATGTACATACCTATTGTCATATTATAATTATTTTTTGTACTAAGTAATAAATATTTAATGTTAATGTACATACAATATTATTTACGGTGCCGCATTTAGGGTGGGGGGCTCTGCGTACAACTGCCGCGGGTGCCGGTATTTTGGGAACAGAAATTTGTTTACTTGTGAATTATTAAAATTTTATAATTTTAATTATTTTAATAACAGTATTATATAATATAATTTAGTTTGAAATTTTTTGAATTAATATTAATTTGCATAGTTTTATATAATTTTATTTTATTTATTCATGAAGTACCTACTTAAATATGTTGAAAAAAAAATTACAAATAAGATTTAAGTGACATAAATTCAAATGTATCTTTGCTGAGAGAGGTTCAAGCAATTACTAAACAATTCTTTTAAAAAAAGCACACATTATAAAGCAAATATTCTTTTCTGTGCTCAAAATCTAAAAGGTTAATGAGGGATCTATTTCCCATATTTTCCATTTGTAGGCCCCTTGGGGGGGAGCAATTTTTTTTCACCGGGGCTTACGAGGCTTACTATTTTTTTTTTTTTTGCACTGGGGCGCAAAATGTCTAAATGCGGCCACTGATTATGTACATGTTCTATTAAATCTACTACTACTTTTAACTATATAAAAAAAAAAATATATAGCAAGTAATTTGTACTTATATTTATTTATGTAGGTTATATATTAAAGTGTTTTATTATTATTTTTTTTTTTGTTCAGAGTAACTTTGATGAAATGATGAACCGTTATAAGCAATTATTAACATACATAAAAACTGCAGTTACTCGGAATCATAGTGAAAAATCTATAAATTCAATTTTAGATTATATTTCAACTTCAAAAAATGTAAGTTTCTGTAACCCAGTAAATGATGTTTATTACGATAGATGTTGTTTAACCTTTTATTTAAAATATATTTGACATTATATATTTTGAATGTAGATGGAATTATTGCAAAATTTCTATGAAACAACTTTAGATGCATTGAAAGATGCCAAGAATGATAGACTTTGGTTTAAAACTAATACAAAATTGGGTAAATTGTATTTTGATTTAGCCGATTACAATAAACTGACCAAAATTCTGAAGCAGTTGCATGCTTCTTGTCAAGTAAGATATACCTTCTATGTTTAAATACTTGATTACTAATACTATCCAGTATTGTATACTTCATTGTTTTTGTTTTAATAAAATTTGTAGTGTTAATTAACAATAAGATTGTTTCTGATCAAATAAAAATCATAAAATTTATAGTTTATTGCTGTAGTTATAAATAACCTCCAATTTAGCTGAAAATGATTCAAACTGAAATGTCTTACTATGAATATTTAATTTTATGTAACAATGAGTATTTCTATTTTAAATTTGTTTACTATAACACCTTCTTGTAAAGGGATTATCAGATGCACGGCTCATCAATACATTTTATTTGGACCAGAACAGGAAATACTTTTTTTAAATTTAAATTGTTTGGAGAGTTTTTATCTTTACTTTCTTCAGTTAAAGTACACTAAATTTTTAAGGTTCCCAAAAACTCCTAAAATCCTTATGTGGCCCTCCAAAAATATTAAATTGTTTCCCTTGTTGTAGGGTCTTAAAAGTTAGGTATAGTATTCAAAAACTGAGTGTTGTCAACATAATTAAATGCTCGTGGCATCTGAATTCAAGTTATTTGTGATTAGTTTTTTTTTTAGTTGGTAGTTTTTCTGATGAATTTACAATCTTTAAAAACTTATAATTGCGCTATAATTTTTAGCATTAAAAGCTTATTGGATTTGCAAAATAATGAGTATAATGAGTATTAACAAAATTAGTTTCATAATATTATATCTTAATATTTCAATATGTCTGTGTCTCTTTATATTATTTATGTTTAATAATGTATGTTATTTAATTAACTACATATTATGCTTACAATTCCAGACTGATAATGGTGAAGACGATCTTAAAAAAGGTACCCAACTATTAGAAATTTATGCTTTAGAAATACAAATGTATACAGCACAAAAAAACAACAAGAAGTTAAAAGAACTTTACGAACAGTCACTCCATATTAAATCTGCTATTCCACATCCTTTGATTATGGGCGTTATTCGAGGTAAATTAAATACTAAATAATTAGAATTAAATCTAAAGATTAAACTCATTATATATTTTATAGAATGTGGTGGTAAAATGCACTTGGAAGAAGGCCATTTCTCTAAAGCACATACTGACTTTTTTGAAGCTTTCAAAAACTATGATGAATCTGGAAGTCCTCGTCGTACAACATGCTTAAAATACCTAGTTTTGGCAAACATGTAATAGTTTTGAATTAACCATGTTAATAATTAGTTATTACTAGTGTTTATAATTGTTATCTAAATTTAAGGTTAATGAAATCTGGTATCAACCCATTTGATTCACAAGAGGCTAAACCTTATAAAAATGATCCAGAAATATTAGCAATGACTAACTTAGTCCAAGCTTACCAGAACGATGACATCAAAGAATTTGAAACTATCTTAAAGAATCATCGTCAAAATATAATGGATGATCCATTCATTAGAGAACACATTGAAGGTAACTTGGATAATTACCTAATTAATTGTACTCTTGTGTATTATATTTAAATACATATTTTATTTTACAGCCTTATTAAGTAATATTCGTACTCAAGTATTGATAAAATTAATTAAACCTTATACTCGTGTCCATATACCGTACATTGCTACGGAACTCAATATTGAAGAAAGTGATGTTGAAAATCTTTTAGTTACATGTATTCTAGATGAGTAAGTATAATTTTGTTTACCTCTTTTTTAAATTATTATTCTTAATTAATATAATTTATATTCCAGAACCATTAAAGGCCGCATTGATCAGACAAATCAAGTGCTAACTTTAACACTAGTTGATTCTGCAACCAACCGTTATGCAGCCATAGATAAGTGGACCAATCAACTAGCTACTCTCAATTTATCTATTTCACAAAAAATATTTTAAAAATGATCAATGTAATTTTTTTTTTTTTTTAATAAATCTTTTACAACATAATATATATTAATGTCTGAAATATTCTAATTTAAATATTTTTGAAACTAATTTTTAACGGTTTGAAAAATATACTGAATATTTTTTTTTATAACACATCCTTATCTTTGATTTTTTCTAGCAACGTTGTAAAGAACTTGGCTTTTGATAGTAATACTTTTGCTTGATTTTGGTTATTTTCACTGAACGCTTTTGATAGTTCCCTATTAACATACAAATATTAATTATATTCTATGAAAATATTAATCCTAGTTAAATTATTCAACTAACTTGTATAAGACAACCAACATATCATCAACATCTTTCTTCAGACGTTCTAGAGATTCTTTTGTATCAACTTCTTCGACTTTTTCATTCCAATCCATTATTTCATATAAAAAAGTGCTATCCATTGTTATAGAATCTTCTTCAATACTCAAACCACCAAGTTTTAACATATAAAGACCTCTTAGAAGTGGATTCAATAGAGTCGTATAAGATTTGTTTAACAGAGAAGAAAATGATTCGGATAGTAATTGTTCTTCCTAAAACACAATTCATTAAAAACAATGTAAATATGACTAAGTACATTGGTAGAGTAAAATTCACTTCAGTTTTGTTGGAAAATCTGTCGGGATGCATAAGGTTTTGTAGTTTTCTAAAATTTGATGTCAACTGTACAGTATCAATATCATACTGAACATGTATATTAAACAGCTCAAAATAGTTTAAATTCTGGTCTTCGGATGACTGAATTATTGAGCAATTTTTACAAAACAGACAAGGTCTGATGTCTAATACCGTTTGACAGTTCCAACATTTGAACGCATCATAAGTTGCATACGGATGGCACTTGAATTTATATTTATTATTTCTCACATTGACTATCTGTTGATATAATGGTTCTGAAAATTGTCTAGCTCTAGAATGATGAACGCTTCGACATACTGCTCTTAATAAGCTATCTCCAAACAGACCGGTACGCCAATGCCGCATCACAAACATTATAAAATATATAGAAATATAATAAATAATAAAAAATAAGACCAAAACTCTAATTTAAATCAATACTTATGAAGGGAACTTAACATAGATTATAATAAAATATTACGTAGGTTGTAGGTATGTATAATATTTGTGAAATACATAGACTTTATACTCAGGTCTGTGGTGAGATATTATACAGTTATAAGGAAATATATTATTTATACTTATATTTACAATTACAACAAATTACGTTTTACACTATAATTTATTAATTTCAACTTTGATCAAGACCACGATTAAAGATTATACAGGTTGCACATCGCCCTATAGTAAACCGCTTCCAGACTGATTTACAAAGTGACTATAAAAATCAGCTGTTAATAATTAACTAGTGGCGCTTAATGTCAACACTCAACCATATGTGTCGACATTTAGAACTAATTTTACACCTATATATCTATAATTGGTTAATTGTAATACTGCCGCTTGGAGCGCCACTGGTTAATTATTGGTAGTCATTTCGTATTTCACCTTATCAGTAGTCGATGTGCAACCTGTATATCTTTAATCGTGATCAAGACCACGGGCCAAAAGCCGTTCTCTTACAAATGATAAGGGGAAAAAAAAAATAATAATCTCATACCAACATTACCAACCGATAAAAATGTCAATGTTCAAAATAATAATTTAATATCAGTTTTAGGGCCAGCCTGTAGTAAATGTACTTTTTTATTAATGTATTAACTTAGATCATATACTAGAATACTGTTACTCGTGTATTAATGTATCAATTGTATCATCTTTATTATCTATGGTATTAATGTACTTTTCTCTAACACCTGTTGATTAATCTAATGAGTAATTAGGATTAATTAATTAAAATTAAAATTCAACCGCCAAATTACAAAAAAATGGCGAAACAGAAATCCAATACTTATATCTATAATAATGACTAACGACCACGATTAAAGTTATCTTTAATCGTGCTAATAACTAATGAGATATTATTATAATTATTTGGGACTTGGGTTTATTTTTGAACTTATAAATAAACTATAGAGTATTTTTAAACGCATAAACAAGATTATTCCAATACAACAATAATAACTGAACATTGCATGAATGATGAATGTTTTGTGGCATTTCATACCAATTATGACACTAATTAACAGTTATAACATTTAAATAATATTATGTCTTGCATTAAATAATATCTTTATAGAAAAATTATACAATATTGCAATTATTGCATTATTGTTACTTACTGCTTAGTAGTTAGTACTTTGTAATATTTTTATATGATCGAAACTTTAACAATAATAGAATTTATGATAATGTTGGTAATGTCTTTATGGTACATAATGGTACAGGGAATTTATGTTTTAGTATTGGTAAACATGATCCGATAAATTTTTTCTTTTTTTTTCCGAGTTCTTATCAGCTGTAAGAGAACGGCTACACACTC